ATTCTTCAAATACTTCTGGGACTAAATCTTTGGCATATTTCACTTCTATATTATTGAAAATGAACTTTTATGAATTGAAACCCTGAAATAGTGACCTTCATTCTTTCAGCATACATATACAGTATCAAATGACCTTGTTCATACCTCTCTTTATATCACTGTTTATACAATCTGAAAGCTACAATCGTTTTATTTCCGTCAACAGATCAACTGACTTAAATTAATGAGTAGGTCACTAGATTATATTGAGATATGCCATGAAGAACCCGTTATTTTTGTAAAATATTACAAAACAAAGTACTATGTATTCCCTCCAAACGCTAAAACGTCACAATAAAATCAACAGAACATCTCAAACATTGATGCCTAATTTCACAACCGAAAGTAATTTACTTAGTAATGGGCACCATTTGGAGGATTGTTCACGTGGTAAAATTGAAGTGTGTCCGTACAGCATATGTTCATTTTATTTAATGTCACATTGGTTGTGATGTTTAGACAGAACGAGCTGTGAACAATACTGAAAATTTATATACATTTCTGAGCAGGAAACAAAGCCTTTTGTCCAGCCTTTCGAATGTTTGTTTTGTGAAAATTAAGAAGATATGGAATCAACAGACCAATAAATTCACCCTCTGCCATGGAAAACGGATGCCAATTTGACTACAAATTGCTATCATTAAAAAGACCGGTCCCAAACGCTAATCGAAAACAAATAAAATACCCTGCCATATTGGCATAAACGTACCTCAGACACGCATACTGCAGCAGATATCGTCAATCCTAATGTTTTGGCCGCCATTTTGGTTTGACCTTTGACCTTAAATCATCTGATCAATACGTAATTTCCTCGTTAACGGGAGTGCGAGATATAAACTTAGTGGACACAGATCCTGATACATGCTTAGCTATTGCGACAATGTGAATCCAGGAGTTGTGTAGTTAATTCAATACCTAACTGACATATACACGTGAATCTGACACCCTTTTCTCCATATTATCATCTCCATGTACATGGGGGGACAGCATTAAACGTAATAGCTGCTTGTTGACAATGCTGTATTTTGATTGGTCAAAATTGTCGGGCACCTGAGGTCATGCCTCGAGATTTTAGTGTTGTTTATGTTGCGTAACAACTGTATTTACAACACAACACGATATCCCCGAATGATAAGTGAAACAAACAACAGTGCGGCAAGCGACCTGTTAAACTGCCGGAAACCTTCATAAAGATATAAATTTAATGTAACGGAAAGTTAAGCAAAGTGACGATGAATATAAATGTACCCCTGTATCTCTATTTATTGTTACAAACAAATCATAACTCCAAATAAGCATAGTACATGCATGTGTAGGCATCAATGCATCTCCATATCATTTTCAATGTAGGTAGGTGTAAAACTGAGAGAGTTATCGGCAAGTTAAGATTAGAAACATTCTGTAAAACATAGAAAACTATGCATTGTGTCAATATAAATGTATTAGGGAAGAAATATATAATGAAATCATATTTGTAAAAGTTTAGTGCTCATTTGGGCCAATTTCCTAGTTATTTACTTTACTATTTTTAAAGAATTTATTAAAACTGTTTAATGAAGTGATCGTGATCGCGTGACTGTACGCGCTTTGTACACACTTCAAGTGATTGTGGTTTTTTGTTGCAGTTATCGGAGTTAGCATTTATAATCTCATGCGTCAGTGGCTTCATAACAACTAAAATGATTGAAGTTGAACACCTTGATCTCAGCTTCATTAGCACTGGAAGCGAAAAAGATGTAAATTCTATTAAAAAGATGGAGCATGTTGATGACAACGGGCTTACAGCCTGTACAATATGTAACTAAAGTACCAAGTACTACAAGACTCATGAAGTGTTCCGTATAACCAGCAGCTCTGTAGCTTTTACCCCGCTTTTAGCAATATTTCAGTAATATCACGGCAGGGGACACCAGAAATGGGCTTCACACATTGTACCCATGTGGGGAATCGAACCCGGAACGAGCAAACGCTGTACCCACTAGGCTCGCCCACAAGGAAATGACTGATTATGAGTACGTACAGAGCATATAGCTAGATTTGCATTGTGCTGACTGAGTTTAGTTTTACGCCGCTTTTAGCAATATTCCAGCAATATCACGGCGGGCGGGACACCAGAAATGGGCTTAACACATTGTGCCCATGTGGGGAATCGAACCCGGGTCTTCGGCGTGACAAACCAACGCTTTAACCACTAGGCTACCCCACCGCCCCAGATTTGCATTGTAACAACTCAGCTAATGAAGGTAAACGTGGAACAAATTCCTGGCCCAAATTTAAGTGAACCCGCTTCCATAAAAGAACTAGCTATATATTTTACTTTCATATTAGAAGTCTACGATACAAACTGAATGGAATGTCTAATCAAAATTCTAAAAACGTTATATTGTGTTCAACTGAAACATGCCTTGGTGGTTCTGTAAGCACAAAAAATTTGGAATTACACCTTTTTCATTCTTGTTTTAAAAAGGGTAGATTATCATTTAATATATTTCATAATTGTACGTTAAACGAAGAGAAGATTTAGAGTCATACATATATAAAAAATATGTATTTCTAGGCTTTCCTGCCACAGAAGAGTTTATTATTATGTGCATCGTACAGGCCACCTAACACCCTTGTGTTATACTGGGATCAAGAAGAATATTCATTTGAAATTGCACTAGATTATACGCCATGTCTTGTTCGATCTGGTGATTTTAGTGCAGATTTCGAGAAGCATAGAGCTCGATCTCATATAAAGATTTATGTAAAATTGAAACACTTTCGTCTCACAAGTAAAACAAATTTCTTTTTGTGTAGGGGATTACCTGCGAGGTGTGGAACAATTGTTCTGCCTTCAGTGAAAATAAACTTGAAATATAGTTGCGAGCAGCGATGTGGGCTCCTTGGGTTTGATACAATCTAGCCACTTGTACCTGTGATGTAGATGTTGAAAGTAGTAATGGCTACTGTTAATAGGGATCATATCACTGCCAGTAATAGGAAATTCGTCATTCGTTAACTTTGAATTCATATGGTCCAGGGTTAGATGGGTTAGATACAAAGGATTGTGTAGTATTGTGTGGATAATGACACTTTCGATGTAGATTCTCACATCGTTATCAAGCTAACAGTGACTAGAACCAATTACTGAAAAGTGTTCACTGTGAATAACACTATAAGGACTCCTGAAGCAACAAGCCGATATAGACACCACATTCTCCACTTGAAAAGGTCCGGATTAGAATGTCCCTTCTGTAACCCATGCTTGTCGTAAGAGGCGACTAACGGGATCGGGTGGTCAGGCTCGCTGACTTGGTTGACATATGTAATTGGTTCCCATTTGCACAGATCGATGCTCATGTTGATCACTGGATTGTCTGGTCCAGGCTCGATTATTTACAGACTGCCGCCATATAGATGGAATATTACTGAGAGCGGCGTAAAACTAAACTCACTCACTCATGGCAGTTTTGAAGACTCATGAAGATTCTCATGTTAGAATAGGCCTTCAGCAACTAAGGTTTGTCGTTAGTGTGTGTTCGCGCGCGTGTGCGTGCGTGTGTAGGGGGGGGGGAATTAGGATCGCAGAAGTATAGTTGAAATTAAATATATCTTCAGTTGTTTTAAATACATCCATATTATATTTAAAGATATCAATGATGTGTTAAGATATCGGTAAATAACTGAAGATATCTTTAATTAATTTCCCATACCACTTGTTGCTTCCAGGGGTTTGATGGATATATAAATCTGATTGTCATCTGCATAGATGTTGAACTTCAGTCCATGGTTCCCTGTGCACTTAAAAGAACCCACGAATCCGTTGGTATATGACCAGATGGTGGTCACATGAATACGTGCAAACACCCAGTTGCGGGTACAGCAACGTGCAGTGAACTTGGACAAAGTACTGTGACTATGTGTCCCAGTGCACCCAGCTGTGAATGGGTACCTCGTAAGGATGGGAATGCCACAATAACTCGGTGCGCCTAGTGGCTGCAAGAGTTGTATGCTCCCCAGGGAGTTGAGATTGACAATACGATGTGCCGTTGAGATTGACATCCAGTGAACGAGGGAAAAACAACAGCACCTTTGAGCAGCTGAGCTGAGCTGGATATCGGCGCTATACAAATGTATAAATGTAATGTAATGTAATGTAAAAATGTCTCTAATAGGCAGATTGTAGGGCTGAAAAGCATTAGGCCAAGAACCGAACCTTGAGGAACGCCATACACCATGTGTCTAGGTGTTGGGTAAAGTGAAGACATGCCATAACATGGCAGCTAATATACACTAAACGCCAAAAGAAACGTTACCCTCCTTCTTTAATGACGGAGGTACCTATTTTCAGCTGGCGTTGTGATGCGTGGACGTCCACTTCTTGGTCTATCTACGGTGACCCCAGTCTGTCTGAAGCCCTGAATAAGTCTTATAACCATGATACGGTGGCATCCGAGGGCGACCCCATCTGCACCATCTCAGTGGCTCTTTCTCTCTCTTCAGCTGTTAATCGTGGCATATTTCTCGTACATGTGTATCATATGTATTTTAGGTCCTCTTCATATCCTATAGAATAACGCGCCCTCGGGATTTCCTTCCCCTGAGGTTTTACAATCTCAACCAAAACCGAGGAAGAGTCTTTTATCCTACACTTAGAACATAGCCCTAGTGGTTCTAGTGTGATGTTCTCCTTCAAAATTGGTTATACCTACTTGGGTTGTCAGTCAAGACGTGATAAGGGGATTTTACGACGACGTCGTATTGGCCACAGTCGGTTTACTAATGACTACTAGGATCTCCTGAAAACGGATGCATGGGGATGGACCTCCCACGTGTGTCTCTTGCGATGAAGTGTTCACCATCAAGCATATTCTGCTTGACTGTGTGGACTTACCGACCGCAAGGGATTCACATTATGATGTGAGAAATCTGAAATATCTATTTTCCCTTCCCGCGTGAGCGGACATCTCATTGTGAACTACCTGAGGGAAGTTAACCTGTATCATAAATTGTAACAATGTAACGTGAATGGCGAATTGCTCGCTTCTAAATTTGGTATGACATTTTCTGTTTTTAAATAATAATGTAATCAAATTATATGTCTTTTAACATGGACTTTGTACTTGGAATGCTTATGAATGAATACTTGATCTCGTCTCTATATGGCTGTAATAATGCCGATGCGACGTAAAACCCAACTCAACTCAACTGAACTCCTTCAAATAAATTTTCACGGATATACGACCGTTGGGACTTCGGGGCGGAATCAGTATCATTTAAGACAGCGTCAGGTTCTTGACAGAGTCGATCGTTACAACTAAACAAAGGTGGTGGATCCAGAAGGATCTTATTTGAATGGGATCTGGACATAATAGGTCTTTTCGTACACACTGTAAGCAATGACAGTTGAGGGAGTTTAGTTTACCACGCTTTTAGCAATATTCCAGCAATATCAGGGGGCACCAGAAATGTTCTTTACACATTTGGAATCGAACCCAAGTCTTCGGCGTGAACACTTTAACCACTAGGCTACCCCACCAGCCCTGACTGACCGCCTTTATAGAAATATCTTGGGAAGAGACAATCTCACATTCGGCTAAGTATGTTGTTTCGTGTTGTTGTTTTTTCAATCACAATCATTTAACCAGAAAATGATTTATACAAATCTAAATTGTCAAATCTATAAGTGACCACACAAGATCAAAGAGAATTAACATATTGTAATAAAGCACAAATTTGTTACTTAAAGAAATACAAGAAAATGATGTCAGCAATAAATAAGAGACCCTACAATTTTATGTCAGTGCACTCATGTTCCGGATAGTCGGACTGTGGACGGGCTTGGAGGGGGCGGGTAGCCTAGTGGTTAAAGCATTCACGCAGCACGCCGAAGACCAGGGTTCAATTCCCTACATGAGTACAAAGTGTGCAGCTCATTTATGGCTATCTGCTGGAATATTGCTAAAACAACGTAAAACCACACTCACTCACTGAAGTAAGTAGAACAACTTGTTCCGCGCGGTAGTTGGAACAGTGAAACAAATGCACGTGCGGTGCGTGATGAGCGTTAACTAAGACTACCGTAGAAACCAACCCCTTCATGTTCTCGGGGTTTCATTTAATGTGCATACCCCCCTGTAATACAAACCAATAATAGCGATTTGAAACTATGATCGTTTGTTAAACAACTTATATCCCGAGTTGAATAAAATTCTGAGATTTTAATGTCTAATTGGCATGGTAAAGTTATGAGGATTGGTAATCTTAATTTAACTGTATTTGATTTACTTTTTTGTTTAAAGTGAAATTCATCTGTACGTTTTCACTGCACACAGACTATAATATCTCTCGAAACCAAGAAATAAGAACTAGATATGAGAATGTCGTCTGTTGGCAGAGAGCTCCACAGATCCAACACTGGTCATCACTTCCATATTTGTTTTAACCAACAATAAAGTTTGTTCTGTCATGTGAGCAGTTGGTCACAAGTAGAGATTCAAAACACTAACCACTCTGTAAAATCATCGAATTCCACAACAGTGGTGGCGCGTGGTCCTGTGCTGAAAGTTAAGCAGCGTCCGGAGAGTCCTTGGATGGGTGACCGTGTTTGGCAGCTTGACTCCTGAGAGTTTTTTTTGAATTGAGTCCTGCTTCACAACGAAGCACATGTGACACATGTGGTCTCACCTTAGACAAGCGAGTTTGTTCAAACTTGTCTCTGTTCACCCAACAGGAAAATGGGTACCCAGTGGAAAAAGTCATATGACTATAACCTTTTAGCCCCTAACAGGCAGCTTGGGTTATCCGGGGTAATAATGTGCTGTGCCTTGATTGTTAGCCCTATGAACATACCTAGTGTGGAGTTTGGCGCTATATAAATGGACACATTATTATCTGTAGCACAAAGAGCATGCCCTTGAGGTGTGGAGTTACTACTGCGCTCTACAAATGTCCATATTATTATTATTAACCTTAAAAATGACAACAGATATTTAGACATCATCCATTGTCATTCGTCACCTCTCGCCCCTTTCCATAACCTCCAAACTGGTATTTGGTATCCCAGAATAACACGAGTTGGTCGTGAATGCATCCATTGTATTAACTGGTCTGTAGCAGACTAGACCTAACTTCCAACAGGAGACGGATTTGTTCAATCTATGCATGTTTACTATACGAGTAGTTTACTGTATTATGTTGGCAGTTTGTACTGACTGACTGAGTTTGGTTTTACGCCGCTTTTAGCAATATTCCAGCAACATCACTGCGGGGGACACCATAAATGGGCTTAAAACATTGTACCCATGTGGGGATTCGAACCTTTTGTTCTCAGAAAACCTAAAGGCAGGAGGGAAAAAAGTAAAAAGAAATCAATACTAAAATTATTTCACTTTTGGCAATTTATGAAGTGTATATGGGGCAAAGCACAAAATAGAAAAACAATTTATTGTAAATTTATATTTTTGACCAATAAAACATTAGGATATTATTTTTTGAGCGGTAAAAATTTACTTATATTATTTTTCTTATTCTTGAAAAAATATCACCGATGGATCCGTAACACAAGAAATAAAATTAGTCTGGCCTAAAGGACATGCACAAACAAGCCACCCACCTTACTCACCTCTTACTAAAAGCATGGGTTGAAGACCAATTCTAACCCAGATCTTCACGGGTGGGGACAAGCATGGGTTAAAGACCAATTCTAACCCAGATCTTCACAGGTATGTGGGGACAAGCATGGGTTGAAGACCAATTCTAACCCAGATCTTCACGGGTGGGGACAAGCATGGGTTGAAGACCAATTCTAACCCAGATCTTCACGGGTGGGGACAAGCATGGGTTGAAGACCAATTCTAACCCAGATCTTCACCAGTTCAAACCCACAAACCTCAATGACAAGTGTTGTCACGAAAGATCTTAATTCTGTTGCCCAGGTTCGATTCCCCACATGGGTACAATGTGTGATGACCATTTCCGGTGTCCCCTGCTGTGATGTTGCTGAAATATTACTAAAAGCAGCCTAAAAGTAAACTCACTCACCCATGTTAACAGAGCTCAAAGATGGATGCTATGTAATTCACAATCAGCTGAGAATTTGTGGCTGTAAAAACAAACCAGTATTCCACAGTAAACATGTCAAACCAACACTCATTCATTATAAGCATGTTCTACAGAAGTTAGGAGAATATATCCAGTGTGTTTATATTTAGTATTTCATCATTGGTTACAACCTCAAAGGTGCTGCTCATCTAAGAGTTGGTTGGTAAGTTGGTTTGTTGATCCCGCTAGTCACTTTTTAAAACAAGCATGGGTTGCTGAAGACCAATTCTAACCGGATCTTCACGGATGGGGACAAGCATGGGTTGCTGAAGACCAATTCTAACCCGGATCTTCATGGGTACTCATCTGACAGACAACAGATAGTTCTCTATGGTGTCCAGTCTACAAGAGTGCCTGTGAGGCCAGTATCGATGCATTTGAAATAATGTTTGTCCCAACAAAAGTTCAGTATCACTCCACAAGGCTAGTACTAGTGACTTCTCGTGTCAACCAGTAGTTGTAACTGAATGTTTCTCACACTTTCACAGTGTACTACACTCCTTTTGTGGGAACACAAGTCCTACATAATGATACCATTTCTGAAGTCGTATCAATGTCAGCTTCCATCTCGGTAACATCAGAAGTCACTGAAATTACCTCTTGCAGAGACCATGACCATGCTTTGATGTCAAGGTTAAGATTAAGTTCAAGGTTATCCTGTGACAGGATGTAAACTCTACTACTACAACCGTCAGTAGCCAAGTGGATACAGTGTTCGCTCATCACACTGATCACCCATGTTCGATACCCTTCATGTGAAGCCAATTCTGATGTTCCCCACCATGATATTGCCTGATTAGGCCAGACCAATTTTATTTCTTGTTTTATGGATTTTTGTCCTCAGAAAAAACCTAAAGGCAGGAGGAAAAAAATTGAAAATAAAATCACCAAAGTAATATTCTTTCTAAATACTAAAGTTTTTTACTTTTGGCAATTTATGAGCTGTATATGGGGCAAAACACAATCTAAAAGTTTTTTCTTTTAAGTTTACATTTTTAAGCCAATAAAAGCAATAGCATTTATTTTTTGAGCAGGAAAATTAATTTTATTTTTTTTTTCTTATTCTTGAAAAAATATGACAGGCAGATCCGTAAAACAAGGAATAAAATTGGTCTGGCCTTATTGATTAAAGCAGCATAAAACTCACTTTAGAAAATGCATACATTTTTCTGTGTATACACGTTTGATAAATTTGTATAGACATTTTAATGTTTATATGTATATATTAATAGCTTGTTCAATATTCTCCACACATGTGACTAGTTTCAATGAAGAAGCATGAAAAATTCAATCTCTTCCATTTATGCATTTATGCAAATATGAAAGCAGACACTGCTAATCTTCTAAATGTCGCCATCAAGATTGTAATGAAAAGTGTACTATAATAAGTATGCTCATAGAAACAAATAAGGGAACACATGAAAGTACAAGTGTTCCTTTATATATTTCCAGAATTTCACTCACAGTGCAATACATACCTTGTGAAGAAACCTGGAAAAGAATAAAGGAACTCTTGTACTTTCATGTTCAATAATCATTCCATGAGTATATCTCACACAATCATGAGTTGTCGAGAATAAAGTTTTGTCGTGATGTATTTTTACAGATATTCAGCTGCAGGTTGGAGTCTGGCTTTCCATCTCCTGATAGACACTTGCCACTGGCTGGGTTGTACAGCTGAGTTATCTCCCCCTGAAATAAATAACACTTGTTAAATTAAGTTCACGGGACAGTTCACAATTTATGAGTGAGTGAGTGAGTTTACTTTTACACGCACTCAGCATTATTCCAGCTATATATATGGTCTGTAAATGTCGAGTCTGGACTAGACAATCCAGTGATCAACAGCAAGTCACTGAGCCTGACTACCCTATCCCGTTAGTCACCTCTTATGAGAAGTATTGGTTACTGAAGATCACTTCTAACCTGTATCTTCACTTTTTCATAATTTATGGCTAGGTGGGGTGTGATGATGATTTTATGGGGGGGTCACCCATTTTGTTCTGGGGAGGTAGGGGGGTTTATATTTACAGAGTTTATTAATATATTTAAGAGCTGTTAGTATTACGTTTGCTTCTGCTGTGAAAATTGAACTGTCATTGGGTAATGTGGAAGATATTGTTTGGACCCAATGACAGTGGCACAAGCTACTGCACCACCATCCTTGGACCCATCTGTAAATAAGGATTTATATGTATTATATTTACTTTTTAATTTATTGTATTCTTGTTTATATTGTAATTCGTTAGCTTCTGATTTTTTCAATGTAGTGAGTGTTAGGTCGACTTGTGGCCTAACCAATTGCCAAGGAGGAGAAGAAAGAAGACGGGAAGGAGATATATTTTCGAGCTCAATGCAGGCAGCAGTAATGAATGGCTTAATCCTGAGCCCAAGAGGCGGAACAAGAGAAGATTTCTTGTTGTACAAATCCTCATAAAGAGGTTTAAAGATACAGTGAAATGCAGGAGTAAATTCGTTAGAATATAGTTTGGTAATGTATTGTAATAATTTGATACGGCGTTGTGCAAGAGAAGGCTGATCGGCCTCGACGTAGAGACTGTCAACAGGAGATGTTCTGAATGATCCAAGACAAAGTCTCAGACCTTGGTGTTGGACAGAATCTATTAGTTTTAAGTTGCTTTTGCAGGTTCCACCATATACGATGGAGCCATAATCAAGTTTTGAGCGGACCAATGATCTATACAGGTGTAGGAGGGTAGTTTGGTGCCCTCCCCACTTTGAACTAGAAACGACTTTCAATAAATTGAGTGCCTTCAGGCATTTAATTTTTAGGGATTTGATATGCGGAAGAAAGGTTAAATGGGAGTAAAAAATCAGACCTAAGAACTTGGCCTCCAAAACAACTTTGATGGGAGTGCCATTGAGAAACAGTTCAGGGTCTTTTTGCAGTTTATATTTTCTACAAAAATGTATACAATTAGTTTTTGATTTAGAAAATTTAAAGCCATTTTCAAGACACCGTTTATTTATTTTGTTTAAACATAACTGCAGTTGCCGTTCAATAGTATACATATTTTTACCACAACAAGAAATATTAAAATCATCCACAAAAAGTGATCCATCAATATTGAATCATTTAAAACCTTAGATAAACTGTTGATCTTAATGCTTAACAATGTGACAGACAAAATACTGCCTTGTGGGACACCCTGATCCTGATTATAATGGTCAGACAGGGTTGAGCCTACTCGGACTTGAAATTGTCTGTCATGTAAAAAGTTGGATATAAATTGAGGCAAACGGCCCTGTAATCCAAAATCATGTAAATCTCTTAAAATACCATATTTCCACGTAGTATCGTATGCTTTTTCTAAATCGAAAAAGATCAACACTGCATGTTGTTTATTAATTATGGCATTTTTAACAAAAGATTCCAAATGCACTAAATGATCAATTGTACTTCTGTTTTTACGGAAACCACATTGTATATCAGTTAATAGGTTATTGGTTTCCAGGTACCAAACTAATCCATTATTGATCATGCATTCCATGGTTTTGCAAACGCAGCTAGTGAGTGAAATTGGTCGATAATTAGAAGGATCGGTATGATCACGTCCAGGTTTAGGAATTGGAACAATAATGGCATCAGGCCATGAAGAAAGAAAATCCCTGGATGTCCAAATACTATCAAAGATATGTAAAAGTGTCTCTAAACAGGATTCTGGTAAGTGCTTCAGGAGTTGATAATGAATGCTATCAGCTCCTGCAGCTGTATCGTGAGCTTGGTCAAGAGCTTTATGAAGCTCATGAATAGAAAATAATTCATTATAGTCTTCCCCATTATCCGTGTTGAAATTAATAGGTATCTTTTCTTGTTGCTGTTGATATTTTTTAAAGTTAGTTAACAGTTAGAGGAGGAAGAGTGCTTAGCCAAAGTTTAACCTAGTTTGTTTGCAATATCTAAAGTATCTGTTAATATTTCATTTCCATTTTTATAGCGGTGGATGCCAGGTTTAGAGCCTTTACCTTTTATTTTTTGTACCATATTCCATACCTTGGACATGGGCGTACGTGAATTGATTTATGATATATAATTTCGCCAAGATTGGCGTTTACTTTGTTTAGAGGTACGCCTAGCTTTGGCATTTAAAATCTTAAATTTATTGAGATTATGGACCATAGGATGGCGACGGAAATAGTGCTCAGCCTTTGATTGCTTTGGAAATAGCAAACGGGTTGATCTTTAACTGAAGACCATTCTTAGATTCAACAACAATAAATCGTGCCCAAGAATTAGAATTTTGTGGAAGAGAAACATCATCATCAGACGACAATATGTCAGCTTCCAAACATCTCTTTTTTTCATTTCGGTTAGAACCAGAATGATTGTGAGCCATGATTATATCAAAGAGATTTTACAACCCTGCTCCCCATCCACCATGGAACGTCAACGAGGACGATGTCTAACTGCATCGGGTCTCCAGCATGCAAACAACAGGGATACAGGGGTGCTATACTGTAGCAAATATGACATGAATAGCTAGCTCTGTTTACTAAGTTCACTGTCAGGCTGGTTCTGCCCATAACAATAACTTATAAACATATAGAATTCAGCGGTCAACATCACCAGATTAGCCCATGAGCCACTGCCTTCTGGCATAGGACTCTAGACAATATAATATCATGAATAATTGGAATTTCGAAAAGCCAAGACCAAATAACATATCAAGTAACTTAGTAACTTAGTTTTAGTTGATATAAACAAACCAAAAGAGTTAACATGGAAACTCATGTAGGCTTTTGCTATGACTGGTGATATTTTAAATTGATTTTCCCTCCTGCCTTAGAGTTTTCTGAGGACAAAAATCTGTAAAACAAGAAATAATTTGGTCTGACCTAAGCAAGAAAATCTAACCATAAACAAGACTGTGAACCAATGTTAAAGTTTTCTTTATCTTAATTTCCGAACTTGGTTCAAAGAGTTTTTCATGGTCAAATATTAGAAAATGACTTCCTGTAAATCTCTAACAGGCTTAAACTTTTCACATGTTTGCTTGCATATTCATTATATGTTGTTCAAAGTCCAAAACATGCAGACACTTGAAGCTCATTTAGAAGTAATACACATAATAGAAAGAATTAATGGATGTCAACTTCTCAACGTATATTCTTACTCCTTTATTAGGTGAATGACGATCAGTTACTGAGCCTAAACCTGATAAGCGATGTAGTTATTGAGTATAAAACTAACAATCCATGTAGTTGTTGAGTCAAAATCTGACAATCCAGGCAGTTGTTGAGTTTAAACCTGACAATCCATGTAGTTGTTGAGTCAAAATCTGACAATCCAGGCAGTTGTTGAGTTTAAACCTGACAATCCAGGCAGTTGTTGAGTTTAAACCTGACAATCCAGGCAATTGTTGAGTCTAAACCTGACAATCCATGTAGTTATGGTGTATAAAACTAACAATCCATGTAGTTGTTGAGTCAAAATCTGACAATCCAGGCAGTTGTTGAGTGTAAACCTGACAATCCAGGCAGTTGTTGGGTTTAAACCTGACAATCCAGGCAGTTGTTGAGTTTAAACCTGGCAATCCAGGCAGTTGTTGAGTTTAAACCTGACAATCCAGGCAGCTGTTGATTTAAACCTGACAATCCATGCAGTTATTGAGTTTAAACCTGACAATCCAGGCAGTTGTTGAGTTTAAACCTGACAATCCAGGCAGTTGTTGAGTTTAAACCTGACAATCCAGGCAGTTGTTGAGTGTAAACCTGACAATCCAGGCAGTTGTTGAGTTTAAACCTGACAATCCAGGCAGTTGTTGAGTGTAAACCTGACAATCCAGGCAGTTGTTGAGTTTAAACCTGACAATCCAAGCAGTTGTTGAGTTTAAACCTGACAATCCAGGCAGTTGTTGAGTTTAAACCTGACAATCCAGGCAGTTGTTGAGTTTAAACCTGACAATCCAGGCAGTTGTTGAGTTTAAACCTGACAATCCAAGCAGTTGTTGAGTGTAAACCTGACAATCCAGGCAGTTGTTGAGTTTAAACCTGACAATCCAGGCAGTTGTTGAGTTTAAACCTGACAATCCAGGCAGTTGTTGAGTTTAAACCCTGACAATCCAGGCAGTTGTTGAGTTTAAACCTGACAATCCAGGCAGTTGTTGAGTTTAAACCTGACAATCCAGGCAGTTGTTGAGTTTAAACCTGACAATCCAGGCAGTTGTTGAGTTTAAACCTGACAATCCAGGCAGTTGTTGAGTTTAAACCTGACAATCCAGGCAGTTGTTGAGTCTAAACCTGACAATCCAGGCAGTTGTTGAGTTTAAACCTGACAATCCAGGCAGTTGTTGAGTTTAAACCTGACAATCCAGGCAGTTGTTGAGTTTAAACCTGACAATCCAGGCAGTTGTTGAGTTTAAACCTGACAATCCAGGCAGTTGTTGAGTTTAAACCTGACAATCCAGGCAGTTGTTGAGTTTAAACCTGACAATCCAGGCAGTTGTTGAGTTTAAACCTGACAATCCAGGCAGTTGTTGAGTTTAAAACCTGACAATCCAGGCAGTTGTTGAGTTTAAACCTGACAATCCAGGCAGTTGTTGAGTTTAAACCTGACAATCCAGGCAGTTGTTGAGTTTAAACCTGACAATCCAGGCAGTTGTTGAGTTTAAACCTGACAATCCAGGCAGTTGTTGAGTTTAAACCTGACAATCCAGGCAGTTGTTGAGTTTAAACCTGACAATCCAGGCAGTTGTTGAGTTTAAACCTGACAATCCAGGCAGTTGTTGAGTTTAAACCTGACAATCCAGGCAGTTGTTGAGTGTAAACCTGACAATCCAGGCAGTTGTTGAGTTTAAACCTGACAATCCAGGCAGTTGTTGAGTTTAAACCTGACAATCCAGGCAGTTGTTGAGTTTAAAACCTGACAATCCAGGCAGTTGTTGAGTTTAAACCTGACAATCCAGGCAGTTGTTGAGTCTAAACCTGACAATCCAGGCAGTTGTTGAGTGTAAACCTGACAATCCAGGCAGTTGTTGAGTTTAAACCTGACAATCCAGGCAGTTGTTGAGTTTAAACCTGACAATCCAGGCAGTTGTTGATTTAAACCTGACAATCCAGGCAGTTGTTGAGTTTAAACCTGACAATCCAGGCAGTTGTTGAGTTTAAACCTGACAATCCAGGCAGTTGTTGAGTGTAAACCTGACAATCCAGGCAGTTGTTGAGTTTAAACCTGACAATCCAGGCAGTTGTTGAGTTTAAACCTGACAATCCAGGCAGTTGTTGAGTCTAAACCTGACAATCCAGGCAGTTGTTGAGTTTAAACCTGACAATCCAGGCAGTTGTTGAGTTTAAACCTGACAATCCAGGCAGTTGTTGAGTTTAAACCTGACAATCCAGGCAGTTGTTGAGTTTAAACCTGACAATCCAGGCAGTTGTTGAGTCTAAACCTGACAATCCAGGCAGTTGTTGAGTGTAAAACCTGACAATCCAGGCAGTTGTTGAGTTTAAACCTGACAATCCAGGCAGTTGTTGAGTTTAAACCTGACAATCCAGGCAGTTGTTGAGTTTAAACCTGACAATCCAGGCAGTTGTTGAGTTTAAACCTGACAATCCAGGCAGTTGTTGAGTCTAAACCTGACAATCCAGGCAGTTGTTGAGTTTAAACCTGACAATCCAGGCAGTTGTTGAGTTTAAACCTGACAATCCAGGCAGTTGTTGAGTGTAAACCTGACAATCCAGGCAGTTGTTGAGTTTAAACCTGACAATCCAGGCAGTTGTTGAGTTTAAACCTGACAATCCAGGCAGTTGTTGAGTTTAAACCTGACAATCCAGGCAGTTGTTGATTTAAACCTGACAATCCAGGCAGTTGTTGAGTTTAAACCTGACAATCCAGGCAGTTGTTGAGTTTAAACCTGACAATCCAGGCAGTTGTTGAGTGTAAACCTGACAATCCAGGCAGTTGTTGAGTTTAAACCTGACAATCCAGGCAGTTGTTGAGTTTAAACCTGACAATCCAGGCAACTGTTGAGTCTAAACCTGACAATCCAGGCAGTTGTTGAGTGTAAACCTGACAATCCAGGCAGTTGTTGAGTTTAAACCTGACAATCCAGGCAGTTGTTGAGTTTAAACCTGACAATCCAGGCAGTTGTTGAGTTTAAACCTGACAATCCAGGCAGTTGTTGAGTCTAAACCTGACAATCCAGGCAGTTGTTGAGTGTAAACCTGACAATCCAGGCAGTTGTTGAGTTTAAACCTGACAATCCAGGCAGTTGTTGAGTTTAAACCTGACAATCCAGGCAGTTGTTGAGTTTAAACCTGACAATCCAGGCAGTTGTTGAGTTTAAACCTGACAATCCAGGCAACTGTTGAGTCTAAACCTGACAATCCAGGCAGTTGTTGAGTTTAAACCTGACAATCCAGGCAGTTATTGAGTTTAAACCTGACAATCAAGGCAGTTGTTGAGTCTAAACCTGACAATCCAGGCAGTTGTTGAGTTTAAACCTGACAATCCAGGCAGTTGTTGAGTTTAAACCTGACAATCCAGGCAGTTGTTGTGTTTAAACCTGACAATCCAGGCAGTTGTTGACCTTAAACCTGACAATCCAGGCAGTTGTTGAGTTTAAACCTGACAATTCAGGCAGTTGTTGAGTTTAAACCTGACAATCCAGGCAGTTGTTGAGTTTAAACCTGACAATCCAGGCAGTTGTTGAGTTTAAACCTGACAATCCAGGCAGTTGTTGAGTTTAAACCTGACAATCCAGGCAGTTGTTGAGTCTAAACCTGACAATCCAGGCAGTTGTTGAGTTTAAACCTAACAATCCAGGCAGTTGTTGAGTCTAAGCCTGACAATCCAGGCAGTTGTTGAGTCTAAACCTGACAATCCACTGTCTGACATGACCTGTTTCCATGCATGTGACCTCCCAGTGCTATAAGTCATCTTCTTACAACAGGGGGCGTTGGGGTAGCCTTGTGGTTAAAACATTGGCTTGTCACGCCGAAGACCCAGGTTCGATTACCCACATGGGTACAATGTGTGAAGCCCATTTTTGGTGTCCCCTGTCTTGATATTGCTAAAAGCGGCATAAAACCAGTGTTCACAATACCTGCCTGCCGACCGCCCGGGACGGGTTATTTTCAACGCGGACTGCCAGATTCTCAAATTAACCTGCCCGACGGTCGGGTTAAAATGTAGACATGAATATGAAGATATTCATCATATTACAGGATAATGAATCATTACTAATTCACTCAAAAATCAGAAATAAACAGTTAAATTTTTTTCTTGTATTGGCATGAGTTTTATCAATATTTCACAAGTTTTAATTTAATTATACTAAGTAAATTAGTAATTTTTGTGGGCAGGAAAGTTTTGGTCAGGGCTGGCAAGTAACCAGTTCCCCACCTAGTTACAACAAACACGAACCACCTTGTATTGACAAGACTTGATTATGCAAATAGCTTGTTGGGAAATCTAACCCAGGAACAGTTTGCCAAACTCCAACTGCAAAAACACTGCAGCACAGTTCATGACCTGAACGAGGAAGTGTGCACATATGACACCAGTGCTAACTTCCATACACTGGCTTCCAGTCCAAGTTCGAGTCCAATACAAGATTCTCACCTTCTTAAGTAAATGTGTCAATCAAACAGCTCCTGCCTATCTGACAGAACTGATTGGGAGATATGAACCTTCTTGGACACTAAGATCTGCTTATCAGTTACTTCTTGAAGTACCCAAAACTCGCCTTAAAAAAGTATGGACAGAGATCATTTGCTCACATGGCCCCAACTCTGTGGAACGATCTTCCCTTGGGAATATAGAAATCCCAATCATTACAATCTTTAAAAGCTGCATAAAGACTCATCTCTTCCAAAAGTTCTGTAAATATTGATATACCACTGAAAATATAGCACCTCTACTGCAGGGTATTTTAATTTTGTGTAGCGCCATGAGCAGACGCCAAGTGCCTGGAGTTTTGGCGCATAACAAATCTACTGTATTATTATTATTATCATTATTACCAACTAATCTAACTTGTGTCGATCACATGGATAGATTGCTGAGGGATAATTGTAACCCAGAAACCCATGTGAATATAATGACAAAATACTGCCTCAGAGATGTGCCCCTTATCTGGATATAAACTCAGCAGTTCCAAACATCAATGAAAACAGACTCTTAACAAAGGTTGCCGTCAGCACCAATATTTTCAGATTGACAGCGGATGACTTCCAATGACATAAGCTCACATCACTATTGATGCAAGGTGAGCTAAAACGTTACCAGTGAGACGACTACACACCTCATATAACCAGATCCATACTTGCGCTGCTCCAGACTTGTGGCATTTCATAGCCATCGGTTGAGCAAGGTTACCTCCCCTTTTCTGTGAGCTCTCCAGGCAAAGGCGTGTAGATAAGAGCAGAAACTGGTAATCAGACAGTTCTTGCCAAATCTTGAATAAACCATAAAAGACACTACATCAGTTATTCAGGATATCATATACCATTAAAAAAAAGTTGGGGATATTCCATTTTGCGAGCATACCACTAGCCACTGTCAATGCTTATGAGAAAAAGTAATATATATCCATACAGATGAAACATTTCCAATTGTCACATTTTCCCTTAATTTTTCTTCATCATCTGTTTCCTCCTTGGCTTCATCATTTGCATTTTATCAATGTTGTAAATCCAATGTTGTTTTTGAATGGCATATATCAGTGTATGAAATAAGCCAAAAGCCAGACATCAGGGCTGGTAACTTAAACTGTTTCCAGTCCAAAAATGGATTCCACCAGACCCGAAAATCCAAAGAAAATTACTCAAATGTATGGAACATGTTTTCAAATATTTGACCCTTACCATCGGGCTGGCTAGCTGTAAATTTAGACTGTCCGCCAGAAATCAAGCCCATCTCAGGTGGTCAGACAGGCCTTATTTCATACACTGCATATATACATTCTATTATGATATAAACAATGTGTACATCCATTCAGCACCATTACTGGTATATCACGGGCGGTGGGGTAGCCTAGTGGTTAAAGCGTTGGCTCGTCGTGTCGAAGACCCGGGTTCGATTCCCCACATGGGTACAATGTGTGAAGCCCATTTCTGGTGTCCCCCGCCGTGATGTTGCTGGAATATTGCTAAAAGCGGCGTAAAACCAACCTCAGTCAGTCAGTGGTATATCCCTCTCTCTTATCATCATTCTGACGAATTGAAAGGCCAAAACTCTTTGACAAGGGGGGGCGGCGGGGTAGCCTACTGGTTAAAGCGTTCGCTCGTCACGCCAAAGACCCGGGGTTCGATTCCCCATGGGTACAATGTGTGAAGCAGCCCATTTCTGGTGTCCCCTGCCATGATATTGCTGGAATATTGTACTGAGAATTAATACATGACTTCAAAGAGCAAAATTACAGGGCCAAAGTATGCACAGGATTAATAATCTTCTGTTTTCTTTCTGTTCAACGTAGTTTACAACTTACACATACCTGCTGACCTTCTTCAGGCCGAGACTGACATTTCTGCAGGGTAAGGAATTTCTTTTTCCCGCCTTGTTGTGCTGGGGTCACACAGAGGTCAGAGGTCACATGCTTCAGCTGAACAGCAGGGTCAAGGTCACAATATAACAATGACATTTGCAGCATTTATGCATTGGAGACAGCAATTTTTATTTAATAACAAATATCGTGCGACTCAGATATCAAATTGTGCACAATTATAGGTGTTTGGAGTTGACTCCAAAAATCATGACTGATAATTGGGTCATCCGAATCGTTCAATGATCAAAATGAACCAGAGCAATACTAGTATTTTGTGTTCAGCATTAAGCTGAGTAAAACTAGATCACACCTAACAAAGCCAAACGCAAATACTAACTACAGTGGTCTATTTTTTCAACAGTCAATGGCTTCAGTCTTTCTCAATTTCTTTTTTATCCATTAAGTTGCAAGTAGTGAAAAAAAACCTCTTCTGTCTCTGTGTCTGATTATTGAAAATTGTCTGTTTGGTTGTTTGGGCTAAATATTTGACTGTTTCAAGTGAGTGAGTTGAGTGAGTGAGTTTAGTTTTACGCCGCACTCAGCAATACTCCAGCTACATGGCGGCGGTCTGTAAATAATCGAGTCTGAACAGACAATCCAGTGATCAACAGCATGAGCATCGTTCTGCACAATTGGGAACCGATGACATGTGTCAACCCAGTCAGTGAGTCTGACCACCCGATCCCATTAGTGGCCTCTTACGACAAGCATGGGTTACTGAAGATCAATTCTAACCCGGATCTTCATGGGTATTGTTTCAAGTAATCATATCACCAATAATGATTCTGCTGTGAAGTAAAACTGAAATAACATACGGCTGTTAATTAAAGCACTGGCGGAAATAGAAAAAACTTGTTATTTCGCATTTATACCTACAATTTATGTACTTAATATGTGAACATGTGAAATATCTGTTAAACTATGGATATCATACTCTTTAACATATCTCAACATAAACTTTGTGAAAGATAGACACGTAAGATGTTAATCAATAGATGAGACATATTCAACACACATGAGAAAGCATAAAATATCTTTGAGATGACCCCTTGAGCCCGTAGGCAGCACATGCATTTCATGCCAGGTGAGTCAACGGTCCATCATCATACCTAGCTGAGCGACCTAATTGCCATCTATAGTCTGATCTATTGTTTTCAGCTGCAATTGATATATTTTCTAAGTTTTGTCTAATTTTACGAGTAAACATGCTTTTCTGGATATCCTATTACGCATTCCACTGAACGCCCAGTTAGGCCGATGTGGGTTGTTGCGACATATGCTATTTGCAATTGTGTAAATTTTAGGGATAAAGAGTAACAGCCTAAAAACAGTTGTTTTTCTTTTTCCGACAGTACTTTAGAAATCCTAGATATACATTGATTGTATCCATAGCATTTCCAAGTAATAACACCAAGTACTATTCTAGGTTAAGGCCATAATATTAATTATCAGATTTTCAGCAATATCGTACAAAAATGTTTGTTAATGTCTAAATCAATTGTTCAAGGAAATCAAATTACTAATATACTGAACGGCGAAAGAAACATCGTAATATTGGAAATGACATTTAAGTTTCAATGGAACATTTGAACCTATTTTTTTAAAATATACACTGGAAGTCAAATATGAGAAAACATGAATCGTGTTCATATAGCCTGTTTTGCCCAATAAAGTATTGTTTGAGATTGAGGTTAGAAATGTTTTTGTTTGTGGAAAGAGAAGAGTTCACACACAACATTGAAATCAAGATGCACATGCATCATGCATGCATTCAGGCATAAATTGCCGGCTTGAATGACGATTGTTCACTTGTTTTCTGAACACAGCAGCTATGGCTAGGATAACAAGTGATCAACGCCATTGGACATCTACATGCTGGTCGACTTGCTCGTGTCATTGCTAGTGACTTCAATTGCAGCGTATGAATGATAGAACGTCTTAGAGAGCAATACAACGCCACCAACAGCACTGATGACCGTCCACATAGTTTCAAAAAAAATAGGTTCAAATACTCCATTGATACTTAAATGTCATTTCCAATATTACCATATTTCTTTTACCTTTCAGTATATATTCTGGCCTTATGTTAACCATTAGTCAACAAACTCTTATTCTATTACTAATAGTCATATTATTAATTATATCTTAATATTAATTATTTCATGATAATGATTATATCATAATAATTAGTACATTATTGATTATCAAACCAATAATTTGTTTAAATTGTCGTAATTTAACATACAGACAATGAACAAATGTATACATGAAAGCCCATTCAAGTTCATAATATTTGGCAAGTCCATATTTAGTTGATCGGTTCCTTTATATATTTTCAGGGTTAGTTTATTCAGGAACTGTTAAAAATATATGTTAATTTTAGAGACAAGAGGTTAGTCGACCTGTACTCACCTGTCCCCTCTGGACCTCATGAGGTTGGTCATCTCTCATATTGAAGGGCGTTCCAAGCATTCCTGGATATTTGGCTTTCTGTCCAGGAACCACCTGGAAGTAGAGTGAGTGAGTGAGTGAGTGAGTGAGTGAGTGAGTGAGTGAGTGAGTGAGTGAGTGAGTGAGTGAGTGAGTGAGTGAGTGAGTGAGTGAGTGAGTGAGTGAGTGAGTGAGTGAGTGAGTGAGTGAGTGAGTGAGTGAGTGAGTGAGTGAGTGAGTGAGTGAGTGAGTGAGTGAGTGAGTGAGTGAGTGAGTGAGTGAGTGTGAGTGAGTGAGTGAGTGAGTGAGTGAGTGAGGTGAGTGAGTGAGTGAGTGAGTGAGTGTGAGTGAGTGAGTGAGTGAGTGAGTGAGTGAGTGAGTGAGTGAGTGAGTGAGTGAGTGAGTGAGTGAGTGAGTGAGTGAGGTTTTATGCCGCTTTTAGCAATGTTCCAGCGACACCAGAAATGGGCTTCACACATTGTGCCCATGTGGGGATTCGAACCCGGGTCTTTGGCGTGACGAGCGGACACTTTAACCCCTAGGCTACCCCACCGTCCCTACCTGGAAGTAGAGCACACAACAAATATACAGGATTTTATAGTTCACTGAGTTTATCATGGATTTCTGATTATCTAAAATGCCTTTTAAAGTAATGAAAAACACATTTTTTGCCAAACTTGGGAATATTTATGGCAACATATACTAGCTGGCAACCATATTTAAGACCTCATCAGTATTCCTGCTATAGTTGGTTTGTTGTTTAACACCGCACTCAGCAATATTCCAGCTATATGGCAGCAGTCTGTAAATAATCAAGTCTGGACCAGACAATCAAATGACCAACATCATGAGCATCGATCTATACATTTGTAATACAATGACATGTGTCAACCAACTCAGCGAGCCTGACCACCGATCCTGTTAGTCGCCTCTTATGACACGCATGGCTTACTGAAGATCAATTCAAACCTGGATCTTCACGGGTATCTTATGTATATTTGCTAAACTCGGCGGTCCTTAAACATGTTAAATAATCGAGTCTGGACCAGACAATCCAGTGATAGTGACTGAGATACCATGACATGTGTCAACCAAGTCAGCAAGCCTGACTACCGATCATGTAAGTTGCCTCTTATGAGAAGCGCGAGTTGCTGGGTTGTTCAATACCTGCTGTTAGACCACAGCCTGGAAGTTATTAAGTACAAACCAGACAATCAACTTCATCGCAGCACACCAACATGCAATCAGGCAAGTCACAGAACCTGACCACCCAATCCATTTTTAGTTGTTAGCCAGGAGGACGAGTTCTTACCCTGAATTTCCATGGGCACATATACACATGGAAAAAACTAATGCAACATCTGCGGTCTTTTAGCCTCACATAGCCATTTATATTCAGATCTTAATTACATTGGTTTGTATAGTATTTTTATCCTCCGGTTACATAATACATTATTGTTACATATACACATGCTACTATCAAAGGCCAACTTCACGTGTACTACATGTATCCGTCATTAAGCAAATATCAAGTTCCAGTAAAATGTTTTTACCCAACGATAACTTGGAAAATTAACTGATTTTGTTGATATGCATAACCACCTGGTTACCTGTTATTATGCATTATTCAGGTAGGTCCACCCACCTGTTCTAGGTATACATTATCCAGGTAGATCAACTCACCTGTTCTAGGTACACATTATCTGGGTAGATCCACCCACCTGTTTTGGGTATACATTATCCAGGTAGATCCACCCACCTCTTCTAGGTACACATTATCCAGGTAGATCCACCCACCTGTTCTAGGTACAAATTATCCAGGTAGAACCACCCACCTGTTCTGGGTATGCATTATCCAGGTAGATCCACCCACCTGTTCTGGGTACACATTATTCAGGTAGGTCCACCCATCTGTTCTAGGTATACATTATCCAGGTAGAACCACCCACCTGTTCTAGGTACACATTATCTGGGTAGATCCACCCACCTGTTCTAGATATGCATTATCCAGGTAGATCTACCCACCTGTTCTATGTACACATTATCCAGGTAGATCCACCCACCTGTTCTGGGTACTCATTATCCAGGTAGATCCACCCACCTGTTCTTGGTACACATTATCCAGGTAGAACACCCACCTGTTCTAGGTACACATTATCCAGGTAGATCCACCCACCTGTTCTGGTACACATTATCCAGGTAGATCACCCACCTGTTTTAGGTACACATTATCCAGGTAGAACCACCCACCTGTTCTGGGTACACATTATCCAGGTACCACTTGAAGCTTTGACAACCGAGCCGTTTCCTGAGCTCCACTCTCTCTGTGATGTCCCCAGCATCCATATCTCTAGCCAGAGGCTTCAGTTCATAGAAATAATCCTGCCACAGACAGAACAAGACCGTAAAGTCTCCGATAGATCATTTACCCCAATAACTTACCTTCTAAACACACATCTGACAACATCTCCATAGGAGTGAGTGTGAGTGAGTTTAGTTTTATGCCGCACTCAGCAATTTTCCAGCTATATGGCGATGGTTTGTAAATAATCGAGTCTGGTCCTGTGATCACCAGCATGAACATCGATCTACACAATTGGGATACGATGACATGTGTCAACCAAGTCAACGAGCCCGACCACCCGATCCCATTAGTCGCCTCTTACAACAAGCATGGGTTACTGAAGATCAATTCTAACCCGTATCTTCACGGATTGTTTGCGTCAGGAGCTTAAACATAAGAAACAATGTAGAGTTACTGGGCTTTAATTAATATTCTTTTGAGCTTTTAAATACATATTCAGGAAGTGGATTGGAGGATAGAAAATTACGTTTTTGAATGAGAGGTTTGTTACAATAATTACGATAATACGGTCATACCAATTCTATTTCTTGTTTTACGGATCCACCGGTCGTCTTTTTTTCAAGACAAAGAAAATAAATCAAATTAATTTCTCACCGGCTCAAAAAGTAAAATTCTAATGGCCAAATATGTAAACCTGCAAGAAATTTTATTGGGCCCCATATACACTTCATAATTTGCCAAAAGTAATATAATTTAAGTATTTAGAAGGAATATTACTTTGATTGGTGATTTTAATTTATTATTTTTTCCCTCCTGCCTTTAAGTTTTCTGATGACAAAAATCCATAAAACAAGAAATAAAATTGGTCTGGCCTAAAGGACATTTATAAAGTGCCTGTATCAAAACACATGTATATGCTCAAAGCACTAAGACATCATTATCCCAAGTTCACCCATGCTGCCTGTGAGTGCTAGAAGGTTAATAGTCATAATGACTTATTCCACCGGGTACCCATTCAATGATGGGTGAACAAATTCACTTGCCTAAGGTGAGACCATATGAGTCATATGTGATTCGTTGTAGGGCAGGACTGAAGTCCTAGAAACTCTCAGGATTCTACCTGCCTCACCCCGTCACCCATCCAAGCACTCTCTGTGACCAATGTTGCTTAACTTTGGGCCACAGAGATGTGATTCAGAATGTTGTTTTTCTCATCACTGCTTTACAGTGAGTGAGTGAGTTTTAGTTTTAGGACGCACTCAGCAATATTCCAGCTATATGGCGGCACTGCTTAACAGACCAGCAATAATGCCGAATACCTTATACTTTCTTTGATGGGCATTTTAAATTGAGTTGATGAAGAATAATGACAATTATTATGGATATACAACTTCTTTTATTCTGTGGATATCTGAGGTGGTCCAGCTCGGCACTAAGGGATTGAGGTGTTGAACAGATATTCTTGGCTCGTCGGGTTGGGGTCGTGATGACCCCTCTCTTGACCTGAATAGGATGACAGGAGGAGGAATGGATATACCGGTCGTGTGGGTTGGCTTGCGGTAGATGCTGGTGTTGAGTCTGTTTTCTTCTCTCTGGACCAGGACATCTAGGAAGAGGAGTTCTTTGTCAGCTTCTGATTCCATCGTGAACTGCTTACGCGGATGTTGGGCGCTGAGGTGTTGGAGAAGGACGTTTGGGTCGTCGGATGGGGGGAGAATGACGAACACTTGCTTGACAATGACATTAGAATCTATGTCCAAACGTCGCCTCCACAGAATATAAAAAGTTGTATATCCATAATAATTGTCATTATTTTTTACCTTATACTTGTCCATCCATACAAGAGCCACCCTTAGTGAGTTTCGTGTTGTTGTATCAATTCCACTGGGCGAACCATACGGTCGGAAGTGTCGGAATACATGACCCACTCGAGAACACGGGACTATTTCCATCCGACCTCCGCACTGCCAGATCTGGAGGAGTAGTAATAGAGGTCATGTGAGGTTATCTGATGGAAAAACACACATTGTGTTCAAGATACTACCCATCCACTTTCAGATAATGTAATCATAAGGACATAACTTATTCTAATGTTTTAACTTATTTATACATGATGCCATGGGTTCAAACTAAATACTGAATGGTCACACAAGTGTCAGCTCTCAATACATTGTAAACAGTGCCAGCTTGAATATCTGGACACAAGGTTTTGAAAGATTAAAATGGAGGTTTCCTTAAAAAAACAGCCCTCATCTAAATCTAAATCAAGCAATCAAAATCTTTGACTGTTGATGATGACGAGAAGTCATTCAATACTATACTGAATATATTTAATATGATATTATCTCAGGGCATACCATTATCAAAGAGATACCAAATGACAGGTTGTTTTTCATTTTCTGCAATTTTCTTCATTGTCTTAGAAATATTATACCCCAATGTCTTGTGATGACTATTATCTCATTAACCACATCACCCACATATACTGAGAGAAAAAAATAAAGGATACCGATGAAGGTGAACAGGAAAATTTAAATGTTCCTTTATTATTTTCCAGTTTTCATCACCACAGCGCTATTCAAAGCTGGTGATGTAAGCTGGAAAATATTAAAGGAACACTTGAATTTTCCTGTGATCCTTTATTTATTTCTCTCAGTATATGTGAAATTTTGGTTATGGCTTTGATAATGATTCCTTCAAAATAAAATGGAAGCTTTTCAAACACTGGACATTGAAAATATAGTTAGGCGAACTACTTTTTGATTGACATATGTCTCAAATCACAACCAGAGACTACCACTGATGTTGGGCTAGGGCTTTAGCAAGTTTTCTCCAGAAAACAAGATAAATGTCTCTTACCCGGAAAGATATTTCAATGTTTTCACCTCCCCAAACATCCATTTGAGAATCATACTCTCCAAGCTCATGAAAGTAAGATCGGTCCATGGCAAACAATCCACCAGGCATAGTAGGAGTTCTGGAAGAGATACATACATCAGACTTGTAATGATACAGTCGAGCACCGTTGTCTCGATATTCATGGCACCAAGAAAACATATCGTGTTATTCGAACTTTGAGACATCAGACCAACGCGTATCATCACATATCACTATGAAAGAAAACAAAACGCTTCTCAGGATGTTTTGATTCGAAACTATAATCCATTATCAGTAGTGTTTATTCGTAACAGGGAGTACTTCCTAATTATTTCCTAATTAAATAACAAAATTTTAATATAAATTGCATATTTACATACTTATCCTATCTCACGATTTGCACTTCTCTCTCTTGCTTCGACACTGAGTTGAACGAATGAGAACTTTTCCTGTAGGCCTCTCTTGTCCATACGCCCATGTTCCCCAGGCTGCTCTCCTAATAGGACAGGTCCCTGGTCCCCGGCTAAGTGTGCAGCACGTTCCCCTGTCTACCCACGTGACTACCTCAGAGTGATCATTCTCTTCTTGGAGCCAATGATCGTAATCTGAGTAGAGGGGAGGCTGGGTGGGCATCCATCTCGTGAGATAGGATAAGTATATTAACATACAATTTATCTTAAAATGTTCAAATTTGTAAACTTATTCTATCTCATGATTTGCACTCATCCCATGGTTGCACGGCAGGTCACAGATTACCCTAAGTCAAAAGGCACTGACAGCATATACTGTACAGGCTAATGACAACCGTAGATAGCAATGAACAAGGGAGGCCGGATCTGACTAGCATAGTACCTCTACTAGTGATGGGTTCTCCTGAACCCCTTGGCTTACTAGGCATCATCGCTCCCAAGGAGTGGGTGCTCCTGAGCAATGTGGTGTTCGGCCACAGGATCCGACTAGCATAGTACCTATACTAGTGATGGGTTCTCCTGAACCCCTTGGCTTACTAGGCACCATCGCTCCCAAGGAGTGGGTGCTCCTGAGCAATGTGGTGTTCAGCAGCAACCCTCACATACGCAAGAAAACGCAACTAGGCAAGTCACCTTGCTTCACGCCACGATTTATCAGAGTACCCCCGTAATTACGACTAGTAATCAGGCCCACACCTGCTTCGAGACAGCCCCCAGACCCCATCACGAAGAGGGAAAAGGAAACTGAATCGGAAAACTCACAAGTTTAACGTTCAGTACCAAAACAACACCACATGACTTCCACTACTTACCACAGTTAGGTCACAACGGTGTGCTAAGGTACTTAGGAGCTTGAACGCTACGAAATCCATGAGGAAATCGGGAAGGACTCACTACACTGATGTGATTGCTCTGCGGAGTAGAGGTCAGCAAGCGAGATTATTGAACACTTCTACATCCGTAGGGAGCAACGACAAGGTAGGCCCATAACTACCAAGGTCACTACGTGCGATGGTTAGTTCGAACCCATTGACTTACTAAGCACAATTGCTCCCAGGGACCGGGACTCCCGAGCAATGTGGTGTTCAGTCACTACCTTCACGAAAGTGAAAGGACGCAGCTTAGCAAGTGTAATCAGTCGTGTTACCAAAATTTCCAAGGTACCACCGCAATAAAAGTCTAATGACTAGTATCGGGCCAGCACCTGCTTCGAAACAACCCCCACAGACACCTTCCCGAGGAGGGTGAAAGGGTAATTGAATCGGAAAACTCACAATTTTAATGTTCAGTACCACAACATCATCTTATGACTTCCACTACTTACCACAGTAAGATCACATAGATGTGTATAGGTACGTAGGAGCATGAACGCTACGAAGTGTAACACTTCGGGAATGACTCACTTCACTGATGTAATTACTCCGTGGAGCAGAGGACAGTAAGTGAGGTGGTGACTCTCCAGAGTCTCAAATTAAATTGAGAGGATAAATCGAAGTCCCAGAAGAATCGAAGACACAAATCAGAAATAAAATTCAGAACTGTGTTGAGTGAACCGATCAGATGATAAATTCGAATCATCAACTGAAGCAGAGCTGCTGATCCTGTCAACCCCTGATGGTTTATGTACAAAATTACCAACAAAATGTCTGTTTGAATCAGTATAAGAGTGAACCGTAGTTCAACTGCCCAATGCCGAACAGCGAGAATGACAGTGCTGATTCGTTGATATGAAGGGCCCTTTCTCCTGATGACCATTTTTTCTGCTAGGCCACTTGATGGAGAAAGTGAGCGCCCCAGCTTGAAAGATGTGTCGACGAACAGGTGTTGAGTCGGTATGAAGGGCACCATAGAGACTCCAACGCAAACATTCCACTTGTTGAGACACCAACAAAAGACTGAATGTAGTTGTGCGGGAAGACAAATCAACTCCCTGGGGTTGTCGTCCCCGAAGTATGGGCACAGAAACATCTGAAGAGGGCGAAGCTGCAGCTGGCCCCTGTAAGTCAGTTTCTTGTGCCGACTTCAACCACCCTAGTAACTTCTGCCACTGGCGAAAAGTTGTGGGTTGGACCAGCACTAGGGGTGCGTTGCACTGAATCTTGTCCCACCTCTCCTGGGGCACAAACATCATGACCTGTCGTGTTGAATATTGTCCCAATAAAAAGAAATCATCGGGTCGGTGTTACCTCCGATTTCTCCGAATTCAGCAGCTATCCTAATTGCGTGAGCAACTTGAAGATGAGGTGCCTGTGGAGAGGAAGGACGACTGGATCCTGCTGGGCTTGAACACAGTCGTCGATATAGTTCTCGAATGTCACGCCTCAACAATGCAGGTAGCTTGTTATCGGATTGGGTATCTGAGTAAAAACCACGGGGCCGTACATATGCCAAGCAGCAGGACCCTCCATTGGTATCAATGACGCCCCTTCAAAGTAAATCGAAGATACTTCCGATGGTCTGGATGTATCGAGATGTGAATGTAGGCATCTCGAAGGTCGAGGGAAATGAGAGGTCTAACAACTCTTGCCTTTGACAAAAAGATATCTCCTGATATAAGAACGTTTAATAAGTCGAGCTACTATGTCAGTTCTAACAGAGTGCTGAATGTAGTATGTTCGGCACATGGAGATTGTCAGTTAATGTACAGGAACATTCACATTGTAACGAATTGAAGAAATTCGTACGATCGGCGACCTCAGGAAAGTTTCGGTTGGCCGAACAAAATAATGGTTTGCCAGGTGGAGTGATAAAGGTAGTAGATCACTGCCTGGTGACAGTCCATGCATAACTGCAGTGACCTCTGAACTCAGTGCTTGAGCTAGTCAAACCGTTCACGGGTGTTTCTGTCTGTCACCCTCGATAAGCAGTCTCTCTCGACTGGCTGTTGAAATCCCGACACAATCACTCTTACCGGGAATGGCACTGTTCATTGTTACTAGCATTTAAAGGCTGGACTTGATATCCGATTCGTGGGACCAAGACAAGTCTGCAAGGGCACTTCATAGTCACTCTAATCATCAAAATTCCGGTAAACAAACAGTAGTCCGCCATTTGCAAACGTTACACACGAGTGACAAAAAAACGGACAACACGGTCTTCGGTTAACCGGGCGAGTTGCAACCCATAAATTCCAGGCTGAGCTATGCTGGCTATTTGACAAAACATCACTGCTGGTACCATGCGCAAAAACTTGACCCATCTGTTATCTGTCCAGAAACTTGCTTATCATGTAAAACAAAGGGAGCTGAAGATGACGAACCATCTGCAATAATTGCACCCAGCGATACACAAACACGCTGTTACCAGTAGTCTGTAGTAACAAGACTCAGTGGAGCGTCGTAAAGTATTCCTGGCTAGCAAGCTTATCTAGTAATGCCATATCGGGTGGTTGTAGAACTGATATCTACACCGAAGGGTAGATTCGTTGAACCGAATCATTCATCAAAGGTGAAGATCGGATGGTAGATTAAATCTGGAATGAGATGAGCCCCGGTCACGGAGGACTCTTGAGAACTGGGATCGTCAGACCGTCAAGTGCCGAGCGTGATATGTCTAGATGACTGCGCTACTGACATCACATGTAAATCGATTCGGCATGGTGAAGCACATAGCTACTACCTCTGTTCAACCAGCTGAAAAAGGGGTACAAGGTGGGATAAGTTATGTGACTAAAAACATTAAGCGCCTCACAAGCCGTAAGGTAAACCGGATAAACAAATCAAATTGTCGTGCTTAGAGCTTGCCACTTCGTAATGAGGAATTCAGCGCCTCACAGATGCCCTGAAAACTAGGATCGTGTTGAAAACTAGCAGAGTTCGACAAATTTGGCCCTATCTAGATGCAAGTTCACGAACCTCGTTGAGGATGTGGAAAACCAGTGTTGACAAGTCCCGATCCTTCATGTTGAATGTAATCAATAGAACATCTGGTATCTTGCTCTAGGTAGCTGTAGGTGGTTGGCGAACCATGCGATCATGTGTGTCGAATCAACCAAAACAATTCCTGCATCTTATAGGCGACTGGCATAGCCCGAACCATGAAAACAAAGATGAGGTTCGATGTGGGTTAAGTGTCTTGGGAGGCATCCCAGACACATTTGGCATAGGCTCTGATAGGCTGGTAAGATGGGCCATGTTGGAAATAACACGAGTGGTGAATCGCCCAATTTGTGAATAAGCTCAATTGCTGGCAAGGTCCGAGGAATGGATTATTGACGAATGCTGACAGTTCGATGAATGCTGACAATTCAGTGATCTTGAACGGCCAGGTGAACTGGTTCGGCGATAGGAAGCAGTTCGGCCTGGTGAAATGGTACGAGTCGGGCTGGTAAATCGGTTCAGGGTGGTGAGCCAGAACGTTGATGTGATCTGAATCAGTCCGAGATCTGGATCTGGATCATGACTGTGATCTGGATCGGTTTGGTAATCCGAAACGTTTAAATGATCTCAGCTGATGGAGAGATCTAGAACGATCAGATGAACCGGTGAGGCGAGGTGAAATGTTCCGGCCGAGGTGAATTGGTTCAACGAGGTGAATCGTTTCGGTGAAGAGAGCCGTTACGGCGAGGCGAGCCGTTTCGGTGCTGTGAATCGAATCGATGATGTGAACCGTTTCGGCGATAAGAAACAGTCTTAATATTATGGCGAATTGAGTCGATGTCGTAATCCACATACGCTGTGGCGAAACGGTTCGGTCTGGTGAATCCATTCGGTATGGCAAACCGATTCGGTGTGGTGAATCGGTTCGGCGATTTGACGATGTAGATCGGCTGTGTGAGTCAGCTGGCAACACAGAGCGGTTTGATGAGGCGGAACGACGAGTAGACATCTGATGATGCGCCAATAAAATCATCACCGTCCGACATGGGAATCTCCGGACGACGAGCAGTTAATACTGGTCGTTGAAAGCGGGTGTTTGTCGGGTGATCATCTGTTGAAGTGTAACGAGCTCTGTCTGCCAGCCAACGGGAGCAAGCATGTCTATATGCTCTAAAAACGTCCTTGATAAGGGAGCACATTCCTGACAACGTTTGCTCCAGGAACACAGGTCAATACAACCCACACATGACGAGAGGGGATCCGAGGAAGTAAATATTGTTACAGTGTGCGCAAAATTACCCTACTTAGGGTCAACTACCCATGATATATTTCTCATGTTAACTTGTAAGGAAAGCTGAGAACTCTCACAATATGTCCACACAGTGGTGCGACAAGAAGAAGAATGATCACTCTGGTAGTCACGTGGGTAGACAGGGGAACATGCTGCACGCTTAGCCTGGGACCAGGGACCTGTCCTATTAGGAGAGCAGCCTGGGGAACATGGGCGTATGGACAAGAGAGGCCTACAGGAAAAGTTCTCATTCGTTCCACTCAGCGTCGAAGCAAGAGAGAGAAGTGCAAATCGTGAGATAGGATAAGTTTAAAAATTGACACCTTCAACTCAATTAGTCCTAATTAGTTTACACTACCACATGCCTTTGATTCATGCTGCACTGTGTTTAAACGTGGGAGAAACAACTTCAGTTTAGAGGAATACTTGCCCATGAAAGGTAGGTGAATATCGAGTTTCTTTGCAAATATCGAGTTAAAAAGGTAATTTTGCTTGTTGGGACCATCAAATTATATCGAGATATCCGAAATATTGAGACATCCGGATCGAGTTAAAAGACCTTAAATGATGATAATTTATGATAAATTATGATGGATTTTGCCGGGACCAAGATGTTATACCGAGACAACCGAGATATCGAGTTATCAGAGTTCGACACAACTGTACTTCATGATCATGTATATGCTATAGTCCTGCATCTGCGAACAGGTGGAATGTGGAAGCATATCATGTAAAGCGTTTGCTTGCCACAATGAAAATCCAAGTTTGATTCCCCAGATTAGTACAATGTGTGAAGCCAATTTCTGGTGTTCCCTGCTGTGATATTGCTGGAATATTGCTAAAAGTGGCGTAAAACTAAACTCACTCTCTGATTGTTCTTCACCTGTCGTGTCCCAGTACTTACTCAATGGGATCAATAAGTTTATCAATATTTTTCTGGTATCTCGGTGGCAGCCCGTCCCATCTGTGGAGCAGGGACCAGGTGAATCCTCCGCGGACAAGGTGTGACGAGCGGTACATGAAGGTGTCGGCGTCAATCATGTCCACGACTGGCACCACCACCGTAGTCCGCTGTTCCTTGATCCGGGACAGGAGCGGCTCCAACCATTGACTGTTCACTTCTATGTGACTGTCGAGAAACACCAGAACCTGTGAAGGAACAATCTCTGTGGTAAATATGAATTAGTTTGTTATTTGTTTGTTGAAGGAACAATGACTGTGCTAAATCATCCTCAATAATCTCCAAGGTATACGTTCCAATAAATCTCCACTATACCCTGGATGCATCTACAGCTAGGTCCGATGATTTTATTACATCCTTCGCTTGGCTTTTTATCCAATGAGCTGTCTACGCTGGGAAGTTGAGCGTACAAATCACTTTAACCTTTTAAACTATCTGACTGATTAAACTTGGCAACACAATTGTTGTAGAGGTACTCTGAAAGAGGTAGAAGGAGTTCTTGCATATATTTTTTAAGATTTCAGATCTGTCAATTTGTCTGTATGTTTTCCCCTAAATCAGAGTCGCACTGCGTACAAACTTCCTCGGCTGCAACCGCTATCTTTGTTGACACTGGCAACACTCGGTTGTAACGACAGCTTATCTGATTGGCTACTGTGAGAATGTGGAGTCACCAAAGGGAGGTAATTTAATCATTGGCTCGAGCCGTAGATGCATCCAGGGTTTAGTGGAGATTTATCGGAATGTATACCCTGGAGATTATCGAGGATGTGTGCTAAATATGAAGTATTTTGTTATTTGTTTGTTGAAGCACTCAGCAATATATTCCAGCTTTATGGCGGTGGTCTGTAAGCAATGGAATCTGGACCAGAGAATCCAGTGATCGACATCATGAGCATCAATCTACATAAATTGGGTTGGTTGGTTTGTTGTATTATATTGTAATCTAAATACATAATTTTTTGGGGGAATACATCATGTGGTAGCTACCCTGAGGGCTGATAGTTAGTATTATTCAGATAAATCCATTATATATTTCTTGAGAAGCATGGTGTGATATAGTGCCTTTAGTTTAATATTGCCACATAAAAAATACCCAGGATAATTAAGGATACTGCGGGTGAACATTTATTTTTGTCAAAGCAATTCACCGAAACATACAAATCTGTGATTCAAACTGAAGATCATAGGACCTAGGAGTGACTATTGAAGGGGAGACAACTATTGCAATAGCGAAAGTCTATTGCAACATACTATTACGATAGCGATAGTCTATATAACTAACAAGAAACTTGAAACCCAGATCAAGTTTGTTTAAGAGGTAACAAGGGCAGATAACTCTAAATAAACAAGTAAACAAATCTGATACTTCCTGTATTTTGTGCTGCGCATTTATCAACAGAAGTCAATTACTAAACTATCGATAGTCACACATACAATCGATGCATCGATAGTTTTTTGTTTCTACCATCGATTAATTGCTATTGGTGACTTAACAATTGCAATTCATCGATAGTTTGATGGATCATTACAGCCTTAATCAGACCACAATTTCATAAGGAACATGACAATGTACAGATGACAAGTCCTATTACAGGGCATGAAAAAAACACACTGACAGATAATGCCAATGCAAGACCAAATCATACCAAGTTTGATGGGGTCTTGTGCATAATTCTATTTTACTTCTTACGTATAAATTTTTATCTAAATACCCCTCAATCTGAAATATTTGTAATGCTCTAAATTTTAACTTTTCAACTAAATTATCCAACCTGTCCAGTGGCTTGCCTAGCTCCCAGTATCCTGGCTCGAATCAGTCCCAGCCTCTCTGTACTGCGGACTAATTTCACCTTCGACAGGTCCTGTATATACCTGGACAGACGAGCCTTGAGGTGGTCTGCAGCAGATGTATCACACGTTATATCATGTGCATAGTTACCATGGTTACTACAGAGTTAGGTGAGTTGAGTTAAACATCGCTTCTAACAGTATTTCTGTTATATCACAGAGGTCATGGCTGAAGGATCCCATGTGATGAAGGTCGATGTTGTTTGCAACACTTGTAAACAATTCCGAGAAAATAGTGTGAGTGTGCTATTCAAACTCATGAATGTAGAATTCTGGCTTCTAAGGGACCATTCATAATTTATGGCTAGGGGGGTGATGATGATTTTTATGAAGAAGCATGTACAATGTGAATGACACCCCCTAAAATTTATGTACAAAATAAGTGACCCCCTTCCCCTTCTCATAATTTCTAGGCATAATTTAAAACATTTTTATGTACAAACTTGCTGACCCCCCAGCTCCCCAGAACAAAATTGGTGACCACCCCCTAAAATCATCCCACCCCCAACCAAGCCATAAATTATGCGAGGTAACTCTGCATAGCACGTAAAATAGTCGTCACCACTTGCCCCTTTCCGTAACCTCCAAGAAGACTCGTCCCCTCTCGATGCTTGTTATGTGCCAAAACTGACCTCACTAACCTTTTTGTAAAACTAACCTCACTCACTCACTCGCTCACTATTTTTAAGAAGTGAAAATACAGAATGCTGACTGACCAAATGTACTTGCATCATCCACCAATATGATCTCATGGAGATACTTTGCAGGGGTCCGTATGAGGATTGTCTGAACGGATCTGACGAGAGTAGACCACGCTTCGTTGTAGAAACACATGACCACGCTGGCCATGGGCAGGTCCTCTGGGTACTGCTGCTCCTGGCACCTGACAACAAACAAAGCCATGTCTCAATATAAACATTAGTTTATACACCATCTGACAAGTATCTTCAGTGAAAACCTGACGAGGCTCCAGAAAATTCAAATACAGATAGACAGTGATGCGGAATATAGCACTACATGATGATGATGATGATGATGATAAGGAGGAGGAGGAGGGGCACAGAACTCACAATGTATTCCTGGAGTCTTTGATAGGTCTGATCTCCCCAAGCCTCTCACTGAGCAGCTCATTGAAACCATGGTGAGCCATACCTGTCCAAAATGTAATGCATAGTGTAAAATTAGTTAGTTTGTTAGTTTTGTTGCTCAACACTGCACTTAGCAATGAATATTCCAGGTAGGTGACAGTGGCCTGTAAGATGATGATGATGATGATGATGATGATGATGACAAAGATGATGATGATGATGATTTTGTTTGATTTTGTTTGTTCAGGTTTAACGCTTTATATTCCAGCGCTGCACTCAGCAATATTCCAGCGAGCCTGATCACCAGATCCCGTTAGTTGCCTCTTAGGACAAGCATGGGTTACTTAAAACCAATTCTAACTTGGATCTTTCGATGATTGTGGACAAAATGATCTGATGATATGAGGCAAGGATAAAAGGGTACAAACTAATCTATTCTCATCAAGCTTCTCCATCCATTACAATCAAAAATATTGGTAGTGATTCATTCCAACTTTCAAACAGGGAACGATTTAGTGCCTTGATTATTACTTGCACAGGTGCAACCCAATATTACAAAGTACAAAATGCAACCGGTTACACCAAGTCAAGTCAATTTTTGAGTGGGTAAACTTCCGAATAAAACATCTAAATAAATCAATAGCATATTTCTTTCATTACACATTGCAATAAAAGCAGTGCAACTGGAATTTGTCTGGTGCAACTAGGTTTTTATTTTAGGTTGCACCTGGTGCAAGTAGGTTAACATCTCTTAATGGAGCCCTGCTTTGTCAACCATTAAAAGTAATCAGGAACAAGTAATAATCATGACAATGTAAGAAATAGCGAGAAATCAATGAGTTGGGTATTTACCTTCACTTAAGATATTTTCATCTGTTTTATTTCTCACCATACCAACTTTAAATAGTTCCATGTCATCTTCTTTGGTCCACACAGCTTTGACTAGATAGGCATCGGATGAATGTCCATGCTCTGATGTCTCTAATATATTCAACACTGCACTTAACTTCGGGAACAGAACATTATTTGAAAAGGTGTCAAACTGTTCCGTTTGGAGTAGTTTTAATGTCAAGTATGCCACCATACAGACTACTCCAGCTTGGCAGCAGAGTCTCCAGAACATCTTTATTCAAAGAATCATCTTACTGGAATTGTGCACAGGTTATCTCAGTTTCTTCCAGGTTATCTGAATAGAAAACAGAAATGGTATTACATATATTTGAACACATAATCACATGAGGAGGCTCAAGGTAACTGACTGAGTGAGTGAGTGTGAGTGTGTGAGTTTTATGCTGCTTTTAGCAATATTCCAGCAATATATTTTTATAATGGCATGGAAGGTAGAAATTGGCTTCACCCACTGTACACATGTAGGGAAGCAAACCTGGGTTTTAAGCACATGGCAACCCTAATGCCCCGGGTAATGGTTAGAACCACTGAGTCTGTGTATTTACTCTCATGGTATCCTTCAGATTGGGTATTGACTAAATCTATAGTCAATATATAGTGAGTGAGTGAGTATGGTTTTATGCTGCTTTTAGCAATATCACAGTGGGGACACCAGAAATGGGCTTCACACATTGTAACCATGTGGGGAATTGAACCCGGGTTTTCTGAGTGATGAGCGAACACTTTAACCATTAGGCTACCCCACCGCCCCTCAATATACAGTGAAACACAACTGTCGTGGTGTGTGGTCCTGAGCATAGAGCTCAGGTCACTATCAGCTGAAGTTAAGCAACTTGGTGAGGAGAGTCCTTGGATGGGTGAGCGTGTGTGACAGCTTGACTCCTGAGAGTTTCTAGGACTTCACTCCTGCCCAACAACCAAGCACATGTGATGCACATGGTTAGCTTGGGGTGAAACGGTATACTGCAGTATTTTGCCTTCGGTTTGGTATACAATAATGCATTCCAGAAATTCTGTATTTTTGGTTTTTGTACTGTTATCTTATGAATCGAAATGGACTGAACTGAAGACACTGTAACTGCAATACTGTCATAGCATGGAAAGATGTATCATAGCATTTCAAGACCATTAACCTTAGGCAAGTGAGTTTGTTCACAATTGCCTCTGTTCACCCAGCAGAAAATGGATACCAGTGGGAAAAATCACTATTAACCTTCTAGTGCTTAACAGGCAGCTTGGGTTATCTGGGGTAATAATAATCAGATTGTGTTAGTGCTTTGGGCATGTGCCTTGAACATGGAAAAGGCACATTATTCACAATTATTATTATTGTCAAACATTTGAATGTGTAAGCTAGATCCCTGTGTATTCCTTCATTGTTTATCCATTGTATTAAACCTTGAATCTTTTACACAGGTCCTTTCAACTTTGACACAACAGTTATTGATCATAGCTTTACTCCTTAGGGTCCAGTTTTGGAGTATTTTTACACAAATCACTGAAGCATTTATTATGGCACCAGTGTTAGGTACCAATGAGGTTTCTGGGGAAACCCCTTTCTAAATAGCGTGCTGATCGTTGTGGGGAATGAGCTCAGCAAAGAGTCCGAAGTCGGAGAAGCTAATTACAATTTTATTTACAAGAACAGAATAACACGGGGTGGAAACAGAGTCATTAATTACAACCCTCTGGGCTGAGGGCTAAAGCTAACCTGTGTTGGGAGAATCTGAAACCTACTGATTAACATTTTCATTTCCAAACTATTTATCTAAAATTGAAACAACAAAAAGATTATGATTCGTTGATGATACAAAATGGGGTGTGCCCTTTAACACCCTACAATAAATGAAATGACCAGACTTCTTATTTCTGTCTGTTTATGTGATACCCCCAGTGTATCAAATACCATGTGCTCACCACAGCAATACGTGTCTGTGTTACAATAAACAAGATTATTTACACTATTCACTGCAGTTCATGTATGATGGCTATGTTTATTCAGTAAATAAACATCTACACAGACATACTGGTACGAGAGTGAACAGGCTACTTTACAGAGTAACTAATATCTTACTCTTTCTCAGTAAATACCAAGTTAGTACTTTTTTTAGGTCGAGTCCTCTCAAAATTTTCACTATTCCTATGTCGCTATGTTTCTGTTTAACAGCAGCAATAATAAAAAATGAAACCTAAGAAATCTGCTTGACCAAACAAACGTTTGGCATCAAAATGGATCAAATTGCTCATAAACCTACATGAGTAAGTTTTTGCTGAAATATATTAATGATCGAAAGGCAAACCGTTCATGACCCATGTGCTGTTGACAGCAACATTACTTGACAGTATGTATAAACGGAAATATGGCATTCTAACTATAAATGATTGCAATAGTTTAGGTTAAATAAAAGTATTTAAAAAAACAAACAACAAAAGCTACACACAGTTATTAATATAAAGATATGGTGACGTTTTACCATGTAAGGTATATCTTTTTTTTTGCAAAGCAGCTGCAGTTTTCCCATGCCGGCCATGGTGACGTAACGTGTTAATGCTGTGCCATTTTAGCTTTACACTCTTGAAACACGTCTCAAGTAAATGTATGGTATCATTCGCATCGCCTGACTGTTGATGCCTTAATCAACACAACTTAGCATCCTAGGTCTGGAGTAAGTCAACCAGAAAATGTTTCTCTTACGGTTGAGCGGCATCCCATGTGCTTTTGTTGACGGAAGTAATAACCGGATATTACACGTGTAGTCGCTGAAAACACCTGTAAAAACTAATTTCTGATATATACTAATTCTGGATAAATAGCACCAAAGTAAAAATATCAGTATAGAATCAGAGACAAAAAAAATGAAAAAATGGAAACCTTGTGCTAGATATACCCAAAAGTGATATTTAATGATGATATAAGGGGCAAACAGGCAAGTGGACTTTTTCGTTTGGTTAATCGATTGACCCACCAGCAGTTTATGTTTTCAATATAAATTAAAGAAACAGGTCTCGCTTGTCCTGCAGAATCCTACACAATGTCCGTATATGTAATTCTATGCGATATTCCATTCATTAAATTGAAGCTGCATCGGATACAAATCTATTCATTATTTCCGTATTCATCGTGTAGAGATTGGACAAGTTTATCTTAACGAACACACATTCCAAACTGAGTTCTGTCTGTGGGCGTTGCAGCTATACCCAAACGCACGGTGATGAGACCAGTCTACTTGGCGTTGGTGTTGACTGAATGTAAAACGATCAACATCAGATCTCTAATGTACTGAAGTATGTTTCAACAAGTGTTTGTTGGTTCAGAGACGTGTGGGCGTGACATTTGAAAATATGTGATATTATTTTGTTCAACGTAACTGTCAATACTTGCCACATGTTTGCAGTTTCAAGTGTTTGTTTTTGGGTAGCCAAGTGGTAAAAGTGTTTTTCATCATTCCACACACTTATGGGTTCGATTCCCAGATGTGGACTTTACAATAAGCCACGTCTTGATGCCTCAGATCACTCTTTATGTTACTTACTGGTATAATAGATGCACGCACATATACATAAAATAGAGACCCACAAGCAGTTAAGCACAATATAGAACAATTTTGATGGATAACAACTTCTTTATTTCATGAGTGCGACGTTTCAATAGAGATTTTTGTACCATTGTCAAGCAAGAGTGGTACATGAAGTAGAGGAGATGTGTATATATACTGACTATAACAATGAGACATAATTGCCATAAATGGTTAAGCTGTAAGCTGATGAAACCAGAGATGTACAAATACAGGAGTGGTACAATGAAGGAGATGTTTATACAATATGTGAGATGTTTATACAATATGTGAGATGTTTATACAATAGGTGAGATGTTTATACAATAGGTGAGATGTTTATACAATAGGTGAGATGTTTATACAATAGATTGGGCTTGGTGGAGGAGTGCATCATAAGCGGATTGAATGAAGTATGCTTGGTCACGGTTAATATAGGGCTTATGTTTCAACTTTGTAAGAATATGTTTGTCTGCATGTTTCTTATGAAATTGGTTGAGGCGATGGGGAAGCTGAGTTGTTAGAGCATTTGCCCGTCACGGGTTTGATTCCCCATCTGTGAACCCAATTTCAAGTGACATTGATGGAATATTGTCAGAGCTGTTGAGTGAGTGAATAAGTATGTTTTTATGCCACTTTTAGCAATATACCTGTACATTGTACCCATGTGGTGAATTACCCGTGAAGGTCCCAGGTTAGAATTGGTCTTCAGTAACCCATGCTTGTCGTAAAAGGCGACTATGCTTGTCGTAAGAGGCGACTAACGGGATCGGGTGGTCAGGCTCGCTGACTTGGTTGACGCATGTCATCGGTTCCCAATTACGCAGATCGATGCTCATGCTGTTGATCACTGGATTGTCTGGTCCAGACTCAATTATTTACAGACCGCCGCCATATAGCTGGAATATTGCTGAGTGCGGCATAAAACTAAACTCACTCACTCACCCCCATGTGGTGAATTGCACCTGAGTCTTCAGCAAGACGAGCAAATGCTTTAACTATTAGGCTACCCCACCGCCCTTGCAGCTGTGGGATATTCTTAACACAGCACACATGTTCCAGATTATGACAGAGTCCTGACAGGTGTCACGTGGTGATGCCCCGTCTTCGCCAGCTCAAGCTGCCTGTCGCCATCATCATCGGTTTCTGCATCATCTACTTCCTGTTGCACCGTCATGCCAGCGACATTAACCGTCGCCCGAGACCTTTCCGACCACGAGCCCACAAGGGAGTTCCAATGCCCCTTCCCCCTGACGATGCTGACGATAGTGGAAAATCATCCCAGTACAGTTTAGAGTATCTCCACGATTTAGGGAGGATTGAGACACCTGACGACCAGCGTAAACATGATCAAGGTAAGAAAAGCGAGCGGAAACATGATCAAGGTAAACATGATCAAGGTAAGAAAAGCGAGATATAGGGAGGATTGAGACACCTGACGACTAGCGGAAACATGATCAAGGTAGGAAAACGAGATATAGGGAGGATTGAGACACCTGACGACTAGCGGAAACATGATCAAGGTAAGAAAACGAGATATAGGGAGGATTGAGGACACCTGACGACTAAGCGCAAAGCAAACATGATCAAGGTAAGAAAACGAGATATTGGGAGGATTGAGACACCTGACGACTAGCGCAAACATGATCAAGGTAGGAAAACGAGATATAGGGAGGATTGAGACACCTGACGACTAGCAAAACATGATCAAGGTAAAGAAAGCGAGATATTGGGAGGATTGAGACATATAGGGAGGATTGGACACCTGACTGGCGCAAAACATGATCAAACAGTTGCCCCAGGTGGAGTGACCCCAGCATAGGGAGGCATTGTCCTCAGATATCATGTAGAAAGGTATCATATTGGAATAGAAGATCTGAATTTTAGGAGATTCTCTATTGATTATTGGCTGCTAAGCAGGATAGATAACAAGTTAACCAAATATGGGAATCCTTGGGTGTATATCCATCAATGTTGGGGCCGGTGGGGTAGTCTGGTGGTTAAAAAGTTTGTTCATCATGCCAAAGACCCGGGTTCGATTCCCCACATGGGTACGGTGTGTGAAACCCATTTCTTGTGTCCCCGCTAATAGTGTTGTTGTTTAATGCTGTTTACAATGACTGTTCAGGTTACCACCACCATGCGTTCAACATCCTCATCAGCGACCGACTGGATTATGTTCGGCCGATCCCCGACACCAGGAATCCTCAGTACGTATACAACAGCACAGTGACGCTGCTGTGTAGTTCTCTTAACAACAGACTCACTCACTCACTCACTCACTCACTCACTCACTCACTCACTCACTCACTCACTCACTCACTCACTCACTCACTCACTCACTCACTCACACTCACTCACTCACTCACTCACTCACTCACTCACTCACTCACTCACTCACTCACTCACTCACTCACTCACTCACTCACTCACTCACTCACTCACTCATATACCTGTGATCCTGGTTAGAACTGGTCTTCAGCAAACCATGCCACTAACTCGATTGGGTGGTCAGACTCGCTGACTTGGAAGTGACCCATGAAGATCCCGGTTAGAATTGCTCTTCATTAACCCATGCTTGTCGTAAGAGGCGACTAACAGGATCGGGTGGTCAGGCTCGCTGACTTGGTTGACACATGTCATTGTATCCCATTTGTGTAGGTTGATGCTCATGCTGTTCATCATTCTATTGTCTGGTCCATACTCCTTTATTTACAGACTGCCGTTCAATAACTCACTCGGGTAATATCCTGTTCCTGACTTACAGGCTGAGATTGGTTGTCGTGTTTCAGGTGCAGTGACAACGTCTTCTCCAGCAACCTGCCTACTGCTAGCATCATCATCTGCTACATCAACGAGGCTAGATCCGCCTTGCTGCGTACAGTACACACTGTTATAGCCCGGACACCGGAACACCTTCTCAAGGAGATCATACTGATTGATGATTACAGTGACCTTGGTAGGCATACTGTCAACTCAAGGTCAAGGACAAGGGAGATAAGTCTATGGATAGTAGACTAACAACTAGTCTCGGAAATAAACATAGTTTACAGAAAAGAAACTAGTTCATAATAAAAAAATGAAATGTAATGAAAAGGAGTCGTAAGGAGTCAGAAACTGAAGCTATGGAAATCTATACTTGCCACATAATCTAGAGTTGCATGGGCTTTCTTGGATATGTTTGTTAAGGGTCTGTATGACAGACTATCTGTGTAGTTATCAAGTACAAGTTGAATGTTTGTCAAACAAATATGGTTGCTTACAACAAACAACCAATCAGATAATACTCTTGCTTGATGTCAGTATTTTCCCATTCATTGTATAAAGAATGTTTACGTCCATAGAATTTTCTCCCTTGTTTATCTAAATGCCATTAGAAGATGTTATACTGAAGGACTGCCCCCATAGAAATTTGTATTTGGATTAGTCTTGTTCTAAGAGGTGACCAACAGGACTGGTCGGGTGATGATTGTCATTAGGGGGGACTATTGAGGAGGAAACAACTATTGCGATAGTCTATTGCAGCATACTATTGCGACCAACTATTGCAATACCATTGCAATATTTTTTCTCTCCTTGAATTGTCTCATTTGAAGTCATTTCCCAAATGAATGTATAGTTTATATTAAAACAAGTTGCAGTAGCTTCAGTCTCTTTTAATAACTAACAAGAAACTTGAAACCCAGATCAAGTAAACAGTTAAAACATAAACTCAATGAAGCTGCAGTCTGCACCCAAACATCCTGTATCTTGTGCTGCACATTTAGTCTAATTTATCATCGGAAGTCAATTACTAAACTATCGATAGTCACACATACTGTCGCTGCATCGATATAGTTTTTTGTTTCTACCATCGATTAATTGCTATCACAGACTCAACAATTGCAATCCATCGATAGTTTGATGCCTCAACTGTCATTGCTAATGTCAGTCACTGGATTGTCTGGTCCAGAGAAGATTATTTACAGACTGCTGAATACAGTGTTAAACAACAACCGAAACAGTAGATAGTAGACACAGACTGAGACAGACTCTCTACTGAAACACTGTGACCATTTTGTAGATCATTTGTAATGTCAGTCACTGGATTGTCTGGTCCATGCTCGATAGTGTTTAGTTATATATAATCCTCCTGCTTCCCCTACCATTGTGACCCCTCCATCAGGTTGTACATACAACCACATGATAGTTTCTTAAACAATTTATTTTTTCTTATCCTGACTCATGATCTTTTGCTTATGTCCCATTCCCTTGGAAATGGTAGTGGAACACTTGAATGCCTTGAATATTAAGTGGTATACTGAGTAGGCATACTCTCTACTGAGACCACCCTGGGCCTATGTTTTACAAACAAGCCAAGTAGCTGTCCAAGGCTGAGTAGGCATACTCTCTACTGTGACCACCCTGGGCCTATGTTTTACAAACAAGCCAAGTAGCTGACCAAGGCTGAGTAGGCATACTCTCTACTGTGACCACCCTGGGCCTATGTTTTACAAACAAACCAAGTAGCTGACCAAGGCTGAGTAGGCATACTCTCTACTGTGACCACCCTGGGCCTATGTTTTACAAACAAACCAAGTAGCTGACCAAGGCTGAGTAGGCATACTCTCTACTGTGACCACCCTGGACCTATGTTTTACAAACAAGCCAAGTAGCTGACCAAGGCTGAGTAGGCATACTCTCTACTGAGACCACATCCTCGATCATCTCCAGGGTATACGTTATGATCACTCTCCGCTATACCCTGGATGCATCCACGGCTTGGCCCGATGAATTTATTATCTCCCTTTGCTGGCTTTTTATCCAATCAGGTGTCTACGCTGGGAAGTTGAGTGAACCAATCACAATTCTCTTTCGCTTCTTAAATTATCTAACCGTTTAACTTGGCAACACAATTGATGGAGAGGTACTATCTTTGTTGACACTGGCAGGCTCGGATGTAACGGCGGTCTTAGCTGATTGGCTACTGTGACAATGTGGGGCCAGCAAAGGGAGGTAATATAATTATTGGGCCAAGCCATGGATGTATCAAGGGTATAGTGGAGAGTGATCGTAACGTATACCCTGGAGATTATCGGGATGCTGAGACCACCCTAGGCCTATGTTTTACAAACCAAGTAGTGAGTAGGCATACCCTCTACTGTGACCCCCCTGGGCCTATGTTTTACAAACAAACCAAGTAGTTGCCCAAGACAGAGTAGGCATACTCTCTACCCTGGGTTTTGTGTTGCAGATGACCTCGGGTCAGACTTCCTGGAATATGTCCACACCAACCTACCTAAGGTGAAGGTTTTCCGGCTGGAGCAGAGATCAGGGTTGATTCGGGCTCGGATGTTTGGTGCGAAACAGGCCCGGGGAGAGGTAGGGTGAAGCAGAAGCTAGGATGATGTGTCAGATACTTTTAGCATTAGGGGAGCCCATAAGTTAAAGATTCCGCTTGTCACAGTGAAGACCCCGGTTCGATTCCCCACATGGGTAGTATGTGTGAAGCCCATTTCTTGTGTCCCTTCACTCACTCACTCACTCACTCCACACTCACTCACTCACTCACTCACTCACTCCTCACTCACTCCTCACCTCACTCCTCACTCCTCCTCACTCCTCACTCACTCACTCACTCACTCCTCACTCACTCCTCTCACTCACTCACTCACTCACTCACTCACTCACTCACTCACTCACTCACTCACTCACTCACTCACTCACTCACTCACTCACTCACTCACTCACTCACTCACTCATCACTCACTCACTCACTCACTCACTCCTCACTCACTCACTCACTCACTCACTGAACCTAATTTGACTCCCTGTTCTCCCCAGGTGTTAGTGTTTCTGGATAGTCACTGCGAGGTGAATGTCTACTGGCTGGAGCCACTACTGACACGGGTAGCAGAGAGCGAACGCAACGTTGTCATCCCCATTATTGACATCATCAGCCCGACACCTTCGCCTACGAGGCCTCGCCGCTGGTACGGGGAGGATTTAACTGGGGCATGCATTTCCGCTGGGACCAGCTCCCTCAGAGTTTCGTGGATAACCAAGCTACCAACAGCAAACCAATAAAGTAAGTGTTCACAGACTCAGTGTGTCTGTCTGTCTGTCCGTCTGTTTGACACCCATGAAGATCCAGGTTAGAATTGATCTTCAGTAACCAATCATTCTGTCTCTGTTTTTGTGTCTGTCTGTCTCTGTGTTTTTGTCTTTCTGTGTTTGTGTCTGTCTGTCTCTGTGTTTGTCTTTGTGTCTGTCTGTTTCAGTGTTTGTCTCTCTCTCTGTTTGTGTCTGTGTGTCTGTGTGTCTGTGTTTGTGTCTATGTCTCTGTCTCTCTGTGTCTGTGTGTGTCTCTGTCTCTCTGTTTGTGTCTGTGTGTGTCTCTGTCTCTCTGTTTGTGTCTGTGTGTCTGTGTCTCTCTGTTTGTGTCTGTGTGTGTCTCTGTCTCTCTGTTTGTGTCTGTGTGTCTCTCTCTCTCTGTTTGTGTCTGTGTGTGTCTCTGTCTCTCTGTTTGTGTCTGTGTGTGTCTCTGTCTCTCTGTTTGTGTCTGTGTGTGTCTGTCTCTCTGTGTCTGTGTGTGTCTCTGTCTCTCTGTTTGTGTCTGTGTGTGTCTCTGTCTCTCTGTCTCTGTGTGTCTCTCTCTGTCTCTCTGTCTCTCTCTGTCTCTCTCTGTCTCTCTGTTTGTGTCTGTGTGTCTCTCTGTGTCTCTGTGTGTCTCTCTGTCTCGGTGTGTCTCTCTGTCTCGGTGTGTCTCTCTGTCTCTGTGTGTGAGTTAGTGAATGAGTGTTGTCTGTTCACATAGAACCATAATACAGTGGTGAACAAACAGATTGTCGTTTGCTTATGAAAACTTGCAAAGAACAACAACCTGAGTCCTTAAAGTCAACTCACAAATGATCTTTATTCATAACCAGGTGTTTTTTGTGATGATGTCAATTACACTTCGTTACACTGCGCCATTTGGCAGCACCATATTTGAGTCATTGCAAATGACATTTCAATGTTGAGTATATGAGGGGCGGTCAAGAAGTAGTCAGCCTAACTATATTCTTGATGTGAGTGTTTGAAAAACTTCCATTTTATATTGAAGGAATCATTAGCAAAGCCATATCCAAAATTTCACATATGTGGGTAATGTGGTTTAGTCATCACAAGACATTGGGGTATAATATTTCTTAAACAATTGCAGAAAATGAAAAAGGACTTGTCCTTTGGTTCCTCTAGGATGATGGTATGTCCTCAGATAATATCATATAAAATATGTTCAATATAGTATTGGATGACTTCCCGTCATAATCAACAGTCAAAGATTTTTGAATGCTTGATTTAGATTTAGACGGGGACTGTTTTTTGGGGACAACCTATTTTAATCTTTCAAAACATTGTGTCCAGATATTCAAGCTGGCACTGTTTACAATATATTGAGAGCTGACACTTGTGTGACCATTCAGTATTTAGTGATATAATGAATAAGTGAAAACATTAATTTTTAAACTTATCCTACCGGGTATCTCACGGTATGCACTTCTCTCTCTTGATTCGACACTAAGTGGAACGATGTAAACTTTTTCCCTAGGCCTCTCTTGTCCATCCGCCCAAGCACTCCATGCTACCTTCACTATAAGACAGCTTCTTAGCTCTCATGCAAAGCATGCGTCATGCACCACTAAAGTACTGTCTGAAATGCTAGAAAAATGCTTTTTAGCCTAAATATCTTTATAAAGGTGATAAATGTACTATGTTGTCAATATATCAACTCGTCTATTGTCTACCTAATATTTATTGCAACTGATTTAACATTCCCATGCATTTAAAGGGCAGTTTACAGGAGAGAATTTGGTACCAAAACAGCAACTTAAGATTTTTTCAGAGTTCAACAACAGAAATCTGAAATAGTCTTTACATTTATGCTAATAATACAGGTGGTGTAAAAATATGAATTAACGTGTTTTTAAACAAATAAATGTTGAATGTTTGTGTTACTTTATTGAAGAAATATAATATAAATGTTAAGTCTTGATAAATAAGTTTCCCGTCATGCATGCACATCTTTATCACAGCGTCCACTATGGCCAACGATTTGTAGTTGATTGTGGGACGTTGGGGTAGCCTAATGGTTAAAGCGTTGGCTCGTCACGCTGAAGATCTGGGTTCGAATCCCCACATGGGCACAATGTGTGAAGCCCATTTTCTAGTGTCCCCCGCCGTGATGTTGCTGGAATATTGCTAAAAGCGGCATAAAACCAAACTCAGTCAGTCAGTCTGTAGTCGATTGTTGCAAAGGTTTATAGTTTTTTTCTGCTTAAAAAAGACAGAGGTCTGTGTGTCTGTGTGTTTGTGTCTGTGTCTCTGTGTGTCTCCGTCTCTCTGTTTGTGTCTCTGTTTATCACAGCGTCCACTATGGCCAACGATTTGTAGTCGATTGTTGCAAAGGTTTATAGGTTTTTTCTGCTTAAAAAAGACAGAGGTAAAATTTTCATTAGTTTAGAAAGGGTTTATTACAGAACTTGTAGAGCTGTTGGCATGTCTTACCAACAAGTTTACAATATTGTAAACAAATCAGACAAGACAGGGACCGTCTCAAATGCAAAACCGGGACGTAAAACCATCCTTGACAACTTTGACAAGGGAGGGCTTAGACGAGTGGTCTACAAACTTTATGAGAAGAAAAATATATATATTCTAAAGAAGCTACACCAGTGACTTCGTTAAATCTTTGGCCAATGTTCACAACTAGATTAAACTGACCGAATTACATCCATATTTTATCAATGAAATATACTGTTGACATGCAAAACATTTATTAAAACGTTGCACACTTCTACAATCAATCGATAAGATAACACAAGTGATAGGATTCTTTCCAATGTACAGTAATTCGTATGTTTATTTCAAAACAAACACACATACACAAATGATCCCTTACATGATCCCTTACATGACCGATACGTATGCTATACGTACACATATTCAACATTTTGCAGAAAACACCTATTGAGATGACCCCTCGCCCGAGCGTGTGCTCAGGTGTCAATTTCACCTGTCGATACCGTGGATGCTGATGACGTAACACAGGCAGTTAATGTTTGTATCAAATAACGTCCCACTACCCCTTATTTTTCTAAGTTTTTGTATTTTCATCAGTAAAAACACATTTTAGAGCATGTCTCAAAATTTATTCCCTCGGTCTGCATTAGGTAGATGTTTCTTGAAGTGATATTTGTTATTTAAGTAACTTTACTTATCGGAAGATGTTCAGCATTTGTATGGCTCTCAACATTCCAGCCCGAGTCCTTCGTCTTCGACCACGTCCCGGGTAGTGGTTGTCGAGACTGCTACCACCCCTCAGGATACCTCTACACAGCAGGACCTTCGAACTACGCTCTCTGTCTCTCGTTCACCGGACCAGTTATCTCGGCAACCTGGCTTATCTGTTTCAGACAAGAAATAGCTGATCTCTACACCTGACTGCACAGAGCGCATGCGCAGAAGCTGTTTTCACTCTCGTCGTTCATCCAGTAGTGAGAGGAACCAGTCTACCTCGCCTCAACGCCTGTCAGTGGTTATTTCACCATCTCCTTCCCATTCGGCGAAAAGAAGTGTGTCTTGCGTCCAGCTGCCTCGATCTTCTGCTTCGCCGAAGCCTGCCAGATCGAATCACAGTTCGTTCGAATCACGCTTCGCTTGCCCGCTCCCCTCCACCTCGACTTTCCCCAGACTGTCCACCTTCCCCAGAATTAGACCGGCTCTCTACGAAACAGCTTTCACCCGAACCGGTCTTCATCGAAACACCTGTCTAAGAGTCAGCATTCTCCGGATCGATCGTCTGCTAAACGTACTTCACCTAATTGTACTTCGTCAACTACTCTGTTGGACCCTACGGTCATGTCTCCTCAGCACGGACGCGGCTTTCACCGTGTCGTCTGGATCAGTCTCCTATTATTATTCATATTTGTTCACCGGATAGACCTGATTGGGCTACTTCACCACCGAGATGCCACTCTTCGACTCATTCGCATTCAACTAAGCACACGCCTCCCTCTGCTTCGTTGAGATCGGTTCTTCGTTCCAAGTCACCGCCTCAGAATTCGTCTTCTCGTCATCATGGGACTTCTGGTTCTGCCCACTCGACCCGTCACCCTAGATCTCCTACACGGTTGACTGCTGCCTATCGTTCAAGATCAAGGCGTCGTCGTTATCGTTGCGATATCTCCCCTCCTTGCTCCCGTTCTCCTCAGCGGGTCTCCATTTGTGCATCCTCTCCCGGTTCGTCCCCCTCCAGACATAGATATGGTTCTACGGATTGTCGATCTAATCAACTGTTTTCCGAGTTGCGATCTCAGCGTGCTATGACTTCTGACGGGACTCCTGCCTCTTCGCGTCTCTCTACTCGGATTGTACCAGATTCCTGGACTCTTGCGCAGGAAACTACTCCTCCCCCAGATCTGGCTGCGATGTTAAGTGCTCTTACTACTTCTTGGAATCAACAACAGGCTGCTCACTCTACGGGGAATGCTCCTCCCCTCGGACCATCTGTTACGGCGTCTAGTCCTGGTGTTCCACCTGATCCTACGTCTCCAGGACATTCCGTTGTGGATTTTGTCGATGAGCCTCAAGGTTTAGCTTGGATAGTGGAGAAACTCCACTTCCCTATGTCACAGAGCCCGGAGGATTTATCTCATTCCTTCTCCATGAGACAACGAGACTTGACATCTATTACTTTCCCACCATGGCCTTGTATTGCTCATCTCACTACGTCCTTGGATCATGCCTTTAAAAGCCTTAAACGGATTAAGGATGGCCTGTCTTCGCCTAGGTTTTCGCTACCAGCAACTCACTCCCATGGTTTCCAGTCCTTGGCTACTACCCCTTCGGTGGATGAGGATGTCCCAACACTTTGTGGGAAGAGGACTTGTTCAGCTTTTCTAGTTGAAGACCGAGAACTGTCTCACATGGTTACAGCTATTCATCATTCCTTACCCTCGATCAACTGCATCATCTCAGCGGTGGACGTGGTTGCGGCATCAGTGGAGCACTCTTTCACCGATCAGGATGCTTACATCAGCGGCTGTA